ACCTGTCCGATTTAAAGTATTTTCTGTGCCACTGCACTTGCGAAAGCATTTTGCCGACGAGGTCGATAAACTATTGCAACTAGATATTCAGCCTTCCTCTTCACCTTGCTGTTCTCCATGTATCACAAATTCCATGGTGCAAAGTATTTCTCCGAAATTGATCTCTGTAAAGCTTACCATCAGATTCCTCTTGTAGAAAGTTCTAGGCCTGTAACTGCTTTTGCCACGTCCAGAGGTCTTATGGAATTTAAAAGACTCGCTTTTGACTTGGGTACCTCTGTTGCTTCATACATACGACTCGTGCGTATAGTTTTAAATTCCTAACCTAATGTGTCATTTTATTTTGATACTATGTCTACAGCGAGATGGCCTGAACATGTAGAAGCATTGAAAGCTGTATTTCCTAGACTTAAGGCTTCTAATTTAACAGTAAAACCAACCAATCAGTTTTGGGGTAAATAAAACTGATTATTTTAGGTTATAAGCTAGGTGAAGGTAAGCTTCCGAGGTGAAGGTAAGCTCCATCGTTTTAGAACGATGTTGAAATTAATGGAAAATACTTCCCCCATGTTGATTTAATTATGATTTAAGGTTTCCATTCTGCTTGATCTCCCTGATATCTTAGCAACTTAATTCGCGCCACTGCAGAGCGCGACTCGATGGCGCGAGATCGCGACTACTGGAAGATCCGCCACGAGATTCTTCTTCTTCCACGAGATCTTCTTCTTCTTCCACGAGATCTTCTCCTTCTTCCACGAGATCTTCTTCTTCTTCCACGAGATCTTCTTCTTCTTCCACGAGATCTTCTTCTTCTTCCACGAGATCTTCTTCTTCTTCCACGAGATCTTCTTCTTCTTCCACGAGATCTTCTTCTTCTTCCTCTAGATTCTTCTTCTTCTTCTTCCACGAGATCGAGCGGATCTTCTCGACTACTGGAAGATCCGCCACGAGATTCTCGAGGCTGCTCTGCAGGAGCGTGACACTCTCCTGCAGCAACAAGCTGTAAGTTATGTACTAAATACTATACAACTATAATTACCACTTTTTCATAATCAATGGATTTAGTACATTTTTATCGCGTCCCCTCAAGATTTTGAAATTCGTACCTCGTAATCAGTTCAGAACGGATCTGTATGTAGTCTAAAACGTACCGCCTTAGTAGCAAGAATCCACGTTAGGAATCGTCGCAAATTTCATCAATTATAATGTTCTGTGAGACAGTTTGTTGAAGTGGTAGACAGTTAAGAGGGTTGAAGGACACAGTGAAGCGCTAGTAAATACTATATTGTATGTACGGGCGCGGGATTAGGCGGGGTGACTGTAAACAAGGCTTCAGAAGTTTAGCTCAAGCCAGCAAGCGTGTTACTTACTAGAGAGGCTAGGTGGTGACTATCTTCTATCGGTGCTGATTGCTGAAGTCATTTTATAGAACCGCAAGTGTGATGTCACTGAAGGTGACCTACGTAATCAATGTAACGGGCATGTGTCTAGTGAAATCGATATTTCATCTGACTGCAAATGAATAAGTGATAAGTCGTGTGTTTCGGAACGAATTGTGGCAAAAACTTTTAATTTGTTTGCCTAAAGTTTTAACATGCCATGTTTTATGAGTTATAACCCCATTGAAAAACCAGTGAGAATCGTGCTAGGGACTAGGGAGAACTACAACGGTGACTTCAGTTTGTATAAGGATATATTCTTGCGATGGATTGGCGTGAATATCCTTGCCAACAGGAATGTAACGCAGCCCACGCCCACACGAGAGCCTCCAGTGAGCCTCTCGCCACGGCAGAGCCAGCCCCAGGTTTGTAGCAAGGATCTCAGCAACAATGTCGAGTCCTCAACAGATGTGATCATGAGATGATCAATTGTTCTTATATTGGCTCGAAATTATAAAGACTGTTCGGATAAGCAGCTACCCGTTTCTTGGTGTGTACCCTCTTGTAAACTTGGTGTTTTCATATGTGCAGCGCCGACGATCTCCGTGGTGCCACAGCTCCGGGGCCTCAAGGACTAGAGGGCCAAGGAGACGGGGAGCATCAACGGGACCCTGCTAATGCTCGGTCGCGTTATCCATCCACCGCCCATCCCCCTCCCCTCAATATACGGCCTCCTCCCTCCCGCCGAGGAGGACGGCCAGGAGGGGGCGTCGCAGCGACTTTTTGTTCAAAATATACAGGGTGCCCGACTCAAGTCACCGCGCTGGCACCCTGATTCAAATCCAAATTATGTTTTAGACAGTTATCACTTTTGTCCCTATTGTAATTATAAAACAAAAACAAAATGAATCGATAAAATGTCCATTTTGTTAGAAATTTAATTTTAACTTGAATAGACAAGTCGCAAGCTCCTTCCTCGTGTACAAAGAACCTATTCCATCGAAAAGGAATGCCTGACGATCATATTCGGCGTCGACAATTTTAAAATCTACCTTATAGGAAAGGAATATGTTCTGGAAGTGGACATTCGCTCAATGATTAACTTTGTCACCGCGCCTAAGCTTGAAACTGACAATCGGTTGAATAAATGCAAACCTCTCTTAGTTTACCTATTATACTGCTCAGTCAGGATACGATGGAGCATGTTGAGCTAAAGCAGCGGGACGAATATGAAACTGAGAGGCGACTGTGCCTAAATTTAAGCAGAGCAGACGGCTTTTGGTCCGAATAACGGACTCCAGTACCTTAAAGGCCCGTTCACACTAGGGGCAACAAGCGAGAATAAAGTGCCTCAAAGTGCATGCAGGTGCGCTTTGCAGCCTCTGCATGCGCTTCTTGACCGATTGACGAGCTAGCTATTGACAGGGGCCATGCCTCATGAAACACAAGCGCGGCACTCAGTAGATAGCTATTAAAGAATTGATATCAATTGTTTGCGAAAATTAATTAACTAAGAATTTAAATTAATTAATTGAATAAATTCGATTCGTTCTGTGCTTTCAATGTATTAATTTGTGACTTCTGATTTGAGATTTTAGATTCTACGAACTGACGCTGGAGCTGGCCTCCGAAACTTTTTTGTGGAAATTTCTTTGCTTTTAAATTCTTAGTTAGTAGATAGCTGTCTGTGGTCTACCTAGAAAAGTTGATTGTGTACGCTGGTCCGGCACACCAAATGTCGACTAACACCACTCTCGTTTGGAGTCGCTCTCTAGTAGAGAGCCTAATTGATCTTTATATTCGGTCAAAGGAGTACAAAAATCGAAATGCAAAGGAACAAGCTATCGTAAAAATAGTTGGAGCTTTAAGAAACTTGTGTGTAGAAGTCACCATGTACAACAATACAAGCACTTCACTCCCGACAGGAAACTGTCGGTCTTGCGATTTTACGTCAAAGGTTTGCTTATATTTGGAAGCACTAATTTCGGCGATCTGAGCAGCGATCTTCGCGCACTCTTCGAGTTTGTCACGCAAAGATAGCACGTAGTCGTAGGATGAACGAGCGTCATCGTCAAGTAACCTGTCCTCCCACAAGCCGCGTAATACCGAAATCGGCCCGCGAACTTGCCTTCCATAAAGGTGCTCGAAGGCGGAATAGCTTGAAGGTCGCTAGGCAGTTTCCTGAGCGTGAACTATGTCGGTACCAAGTAGCGATGCCACTAGAATAGAATAGAAGAGAATAGAAGTGTCGGCGTTGAAGACATAGGCCCATGGCCTGTTGCCGATTCTTGAACTTTTCGTGACTTGATTCACAAGGGATCCGGCCTTTGGAACCCGATCTTTCCATAACTGACGATTGATTCACTGAGTTAGCTTGTCAATACACTGATTTCAAGACACATTGTAAGCGATATGTCAAATCGTTTTAAACTGGGCTCTCTTAGAGCAATTCGATTCGTCTGTTCTTCTGTTCTTGAACGCGTTCATACTTGGAGCGCCAACGATGTCATTGGGGAGGCTGTTCCACATGTCAGTGACTCGAAGCGAGAAGAAATGTTGTCGCGTGGAGAAGTTGCAGCGCAGTTTTTTTAGCTTATAGCCGTGGCCCCTGGAGTTGGTTCTTGTTTCAAAGTCTAGTAATCCTTCGGGGACCTTGTATAAACCATGAGTATTTTAATAAGGTATGAAATACGTTACGAGTTTGATTCATGACCACCAAGTGTGTTTAAGCTATAAATTTACTGTCTAGGATTGACACGAGGATTGAATTTCTGATACAGAGATCAACTATAGTAGTTGATATTAACCCGAAAATAATATGCTGTAAAATATGTAAAATATTGGGCGAGTGTTAAAATGTTCACGGGCTATTGCACTGCATTGTCTAGCTAGAATAATCTCCCACTGAACACAGATGACGGGATCACAAACCACGTGATAAAATCAAGATTTATTAACATACGGAATACTATTTTCGTTTAGGAATGTGATAAACTCGGTCATAATACACAGGTGCATAAGAAAACAAATTATTTTCGACTAGTAATTCCAGCATAGATATCAAGCAATAGTAAATAATTCGTACCTTAAAAACTATATTTGAAAAATATAAATTTTTAAAAAATGTATAATGATAGAATAATGTTTCCAGTTCGAACAGCAGAAATATGATTGAATCATATCGTTCATGATTGAAATAAAAAGCTAGCGTGTTGACACATTCATTACTATATCCAAGACATTACTGTAGTAGACGTGGTACCGGGACTGTACTGGTACAGCCTTTTGACTGTTCTGGAATTCGTCTCCAAATTAATATTGACCTTGGTTTAAAAACAATTATAAGATACTTTTTGCGTATTGATTCGGTAAGTATACTAAAGGCGAGCAACTCTACACCAACATCTGATTTGCTATCTTCATATCTGACAAAATGAAAATTTGGCGATGCAGTGTTTTTCTCTCATTTATACAATTTCATAAATTTGATCCAATGTTCATATCTCGATCAAATAAATTTCATTCCTGAATCACATATTTATGAAATTATTCATTTTTTTTAATTGTGAAGGCCTATCCTACACGAGTATATTTTTTCCAGATGTTACAATGAAACTATGGTTTTCCGAAATTTATGAACTGTTCATAAAACTAAAGCTAGGAAACGAACTTTGATCCTTTTGACTGTACTGGTACATTGCTTACAACTCGCTTCCAAGTCATTACCTAAAATCGCTTCTTGTGTAAATCATCAGTTCCTATGCTATAGTAGAATATATACATAGGAATGAAATTTAATATTTGTGCAACACGATAAAGCATAGTTTCACTCAGGAAATATTGCCCACAGACAGATTCTCTCCTGCAATTAATCAGACTTAGAGGAATTAATTAATCAAAATTAACTCAAAGTTATGAGATTATTCTACATTAACAAAAACATTTGTATAGGGAATGTGCATAAATTCTGTCACGTAATCAAGATCAAAAGTGAGAGAATCAACACGGAAGAATAATAAGAAATACTATGGAAGAATAAGGCTAAAAATTTACCACAAAAGAATAAGAAGAATAAGAACAGATCGTCAACTGAGCATCAAATTAGCTACTTTTCGCCAGCAGTTTCTGCAGTTAGCTACAGGTTTATAAAAGTGAAGAAAATCAGCAATTCCTAACTCTTCGGAGCTAATTTTGCATTCTGGGTCAAGTTGCATTCTGGGTCAAAATTTAAGGGTCGCTCTGAGCTGTTCACAACTTGCGTTGACCTATTAAATTAATTTATAACTAAACTTTTAACATAGAATACATAAAAATCGTGAGGTACAAATAAAGTGAATAGAGTTCTTATCTACACACGGCATTGAAAGAAAACTGTATCATAGATATAAGAGAGCACAGAAGAATACGAGGTGTTGCAAAGGTCTGTTACAGGTGTTGCAAAGGTATGTTACAGGTGTTGCAAAGGCCTGTTATAGGTGTTGCCCTGGCCTGTTTTACAGGCTGAAGGTTCGGTGTTGCACGAGGCCTGTTACGCGGTGTTGCATTGGCCTATTACGGCCATAATAAAGAACTCATTTACGAGCGAGCATAGTAAGCAATTTGCTCATGGAAACCCTTAAGAGTTTCCTCAAAACCGACAAGTTTCTGCCGACATTCTCGTCCGTTGGGTGCACGCGTGTGCATCCATTCGAGGAGGTCGTCGGTCTCGCGCAGAACCGCCGCCCTGTCGGCGTCGTTGATCACGTCACGTGAGCTGACAGAACCAAACAACAACTTCGTTCTGAAGCACAAAGACATCAAGCGGTCCTTGGCTTTAGCTTCTAGTCTTTCGATATCCTCTTGTGTTTGATGCTCTTCTTTTTCTTCCTCCTCATCTTCCATTTCCTCATCGGAAGAAGAGCTCTGATCGTCTTTCGAGTCAACCAGCTCCTCCAACGTGAACCGGGCATGGGTTCTTGCCATCACGTCCACTTCCTGGACGGAAAGTCTCCCTGTCCTTGCCGCGATTTGGACTTGCTTGTTGTTTTTGGTGGCTTGATCCACGGCCTCAACAGTCAGGATGCCGTTTTCATCCACTGAGAATGTTACGGCCAGCTTGGGTACTCCTTGCCTGGCCGACTGGATGTTCTCCAGAAGAAAGGAACCAAGGAGCAAGTTGTCCTTAATTAATGGGAATTCTCCTTCGTATACCTTTAGCCTGCAGCGAGTCTGGAAGTCCGTCACTGTGGTCCACGTTGGCTGAGTTACTCTGGCGGGAATGGAGGTGTTCTTGTCCATCACAACCACCATTTTTTCATCCGCGTCTGCCAGCCCCAGAGACAAAGGGATGACGTCAGCGATGTGTAAGTTGTCGATGCTGTTGTCCCCTGACACGATGGCGGCTAGAACTGCGGCGCCGGTGGCAACAGCTTCATCCGCATTGATCGTCTGACGAATTTTAGATTCACCAAAAAGTTCAGCAAGATTTGACCTGATTTTAGGAATTCTTGTAGACCCACCAACGAGAACAACGTCATCAACAGAGGAAACTTCAGCGTTGTTTTCGCTCAAGAACTGCCTTAAGATTTGCATTGTTCTTCCGAAGAGTTGACTGCAGAGCATATCGAACTTGGCCCGTGTGAGGGTGCAAGAGTAGTCTCGTCCTTTGATAAGACCAGGCACGTCGATCACTGTCGTCATTGACACCGACAACCTGCACTTCGCCTTTTCGCACTCCTTCTTCAGTCGGATCTTCGCCCTTACATTTGTACCAAGTTCCATCAGATGCCGTTTGCGGATATCATTGAGGCAGTAGTCCATAAGGATTCTATCAAAGTCCGTACCACCGAGGTTGGTATCTCCGGTCACAGCCTTTACCGTATACCGTGCAGGTTTATACTGACTCTGCACCACATCCAGCAATGAAACATCAAATGTGCCACCACCCAAATCAAAGACAAGCACGGTTCTATGGCCATAAGTGTGGCGGTGAATGCCATAAGCCAGCGCTGCAGCAGTGGGTTCATTGATGATCCGGAGAACCGACAGACCGGCGATACGAGCAGCGTCTTTGGTGGCCTGTCTCTGGGAGTCGCTGAAATAGGCAGGTACAGTAATGACAACTTCGGTCACCTCGCAGTCCAAGTAATTTTCAGCAACTTTCTTCAGATGATCCAGAACAAGGGCGCTTACTTGCTCGGGCCACAGTTCAACAGCCTCATCTCGGTACTGCAGTTGGATAACAGGCGAGTTGTTACCGTTGTCACGCACCGAATAAGAAAAATTGTTTATATCTTTGCGGAGAGAAGGGTCACTGTAACGCCGGCCAATGAGACGTTTGGTCTCATACAGGGTGTTTGCAGGGTTCATTGATGCCTGGGCAGCCGCAGCTTCCCCGACGTACAAGCCTTCTTCAGTAAAAGCCACGCACGATGGCGTGAGTCGCGCGCCAGTTTTTGCGTCAGCGATTATTTCCGTGCGCCCATTTCGCCAGACGCCCACGCACGAAAATGTCGTGCCCAGGTCCATCCCTACAGCCACACTGCCCGCCATCATCTGAAACAATTCACAATTGTCATCAATAAGTTTCTTGATCCATCAAGTAAAAATATAACTCAGTACACAGTGCAGTGAGTGACAGAGAGCGCATTTTCTCGTCGACGAAAACTTGAGGTCACGGACGGACGGACACACAGACGGACATGGCTAGCACAATAGTGAATTTTTTATATATATGAGAAAATGCGCTAAAGTATAATACCGGTATGTAGTCAATAAAGAGAGGAATTGAAAGTCAATGCAAAATCTTTAATTTAATGAATGTAACATATATAAGTAAATAATTATTTTGTTGGCATGCTTCCCGCTGTAATCTACAACAAGAGTTTACAAGGAGTTATAAGCAGGAGTCAACAATGGAGTTTCTGGAGCAAGAGTCAACAATGAGTTTCTGGAGCATGAGTCAACAATGAGTTTCTGGAGCATGAGTCAACAATGAGTTTCTGGAGAATGAGTCAACAATGAGTTTCTGGAGCATGAGTCAACAATGAATTTCTGGAGAATGAGTCAACAATGAGTTTCTGGAGCAGGAGTCAATGCATTTCTGGAGCAAGAGTCAAAAACGAGTTTCTGGAGCATGAGTCAACAACGAGTTTCTGGAGCATGAGTCAACAATGAGTTTCTGGAGCAGGAGTCAATGCGTTTCTGGAGCAGGAGTCAAAAACGAGTTTCTGGAGCAAGAGTCGACATCAAGTTTCTGGAGCAGGAGTCAACAATGAGTTTCTGGAGCAGAAGTCAACAATGAGTTTCTGGAGCAGGAAACAACAATTAGTTTCTGGAGCAGGAGTCAACAATTAGTTTCTGGAGCACGAGTCAACCAAGGAGTTTCTGGAGCAGGAGTCAACAATGAGTTTCTGGAGCAGGAGTCAAAATTGAGTTTCTGGAGCAGGAGTCAACAATGAGTTTCTGGAGCAGGAGTCAACAATGAGTTTCTGGAGCAGGGAGCAGGAGTCAACATTGAGTTTCTGGAGCACGAGTCAACAATGAGCTTCTGGAGAAGGAGTCAACAATGAATTTCTGGAGCAGGAGTCAATGGAGTTTCTGGAGCAAGAGTCAACAATGAATTTCTGGAGCAAGTTGTATGTTGTAATGAATATCAATATTTCATGTTTTGCTGATATTTAATCAATAAGCAATGATAATCACTATAGAAAGGGCATAGTTTTGTTGGTGCTTGATTTAGCTAATCTTCCTGTGATTCATGCTAGGTACTGATTATCATCATCAAGTTAATGAAGAAAGACAAGCAAGATTCAAGTTTAATTAATGACCTTTGCCTTAACTTAAAAAAGACAGATTATTGTTAAAACTGAAATTGACTGATTAATGGGTAGTTCTGAAAACCAGACATAAATGTAACATTTTACCTCTTTACTATGGGATAGATTGTGCAAAGCCATGGCTAGGGGATAAAATTGTCTTTGGGCAAACGACTTATAGTTAATTAATGGGTGGGTTGTGCATGATTATTCACTCTGATATTACAGAGTTAGGTTACCAAGAAACCTTAGCCTGAGACAGTCTGATCCCCAATTACAGAGCCAGTATGGAAGACTTCCTACTTTTCCCAAAATCTTACAACTCCATCATGCTATTTTAGTTAAATGAAGAGTTTTGTGACTAAAATAAAAGGTTCAATAAAAAATCCAAAATTTGCAATTTGATTTTTAGTTTACAATGACTTCATATACTTGCAATGACAGCAAAGAAGAGTATGCAAATATCTCCGTACTGAAGATATGTATATGCATAAGTTTATATTTCTAGATCAAAGCAAACAATATTGACATAATCTATGGCTGGAGGCATAGGTATGTATATCTTTCATGGATGCATTTGGAGTTCAAAATATTTCTTTAGGATTAATGAAAAATGAATTATTTTACAATCGAATTCATGTTTTTAGGCGTAAATTCAATAAAATCACGACTAAGAAAATAAGTTACAGCTCAAAAGCCAGATATTTAAGAATTGGGCATTGCATGGAAAGCAACATTTAGGTAATACTGTGATGAGGAGCTGTTATACATTTTTTTTACCTGTAAATTAAAGCCTGATTAATGATTAACACGTTGACTACGTATTGGTACATATGCGTACCACGAAATGTATTTCTCCAGGAGGTAGTGGTACATAATTCAGGTTGCCTAAAATCGGCCAAATCCGAGAACAAAAAAGGCCGATAATTCAATGTATACTAGTTTATTTGTAGGTTCCGCTATAAAAATTCCATTTATTTTCTTTTTGCAGTATTTAAAATTTAATTAGGAAGTACCGCTACCATAAATTTTTGCCGGCCAACGCAATTGAGAAAAACTAGATCACGGAATTTGTCTGGAAAAAATGACCGTCTGGCAACCCTGCTTAGAAAAAGTACAAAAAATGAAATAATAGTACAAGATGAAGCAATCGTAGTCAACGTGTTAAAGAAGAGACCAGATTCTGAACATGATTTCATTATAAAGCTATATATTATACTCTGAAACACCCACTGATTGCCAGATATTCAAGTTGTCACTCATGAATGCCATCAAGTTATCAACCTTTCATACATATAAAAAGATAAGACCATTTATATTTTAGCAAGATTTTTAAAGATTAACAAGGTCTCTGTCAAAAGGATTTTTAATGGTCATTTATTAATTTTTAGTAAAAGTGACTAAGCAAGGATGTATATATGTGTAGACTGGTCACTGGGCAGTCAGTGGCAGACTGATAGTGGTTGACAAAATGACAAGTGACAGATGTTTGACGTTGCCAATGTTGGGGCAAGCCTGGACCCTGGTGGATGGCAAGGCAATTCATCATGAATTTATTATTGATATTACTAGAAAAATCTATTTCATCAACTTTTAATATAAAAAAATATTTAATAATATCTATTTAGTTATTAATGAACTGAGAGCCTTCAAAAGTGTTATGGAATTATCAGAAGTTCAGAACCTTCAATAATGTGTAATTGCATCTTTTAAATGGTAAAATACCATCAGATCAGGAGGTAAATTTGGGAGAGATACCAATTTGTAATATTCAGCAAAAGTTTCCTATAATTGCTGGTAAAAATGATTGTTTCACAGGTGATTTCTGAAAATTGCAGCCAAAAATAGAAGGTTTTTCTTGTTTTTTTTTTACTGGAGGAGCTGGTACAAGACCTTTGGAACGGGTTAAATTGGCAAGATTCACAGACATTTTTGTCTAATTTACTTCACTGGTTAGTGGTGCCGGCCGCCGGGCGGCTACTGACCAGTTTTCAACTTAGGGAGTCAGAGAGTGAGAAAGAGATATATAATATATAAAAATATAAAGATTACACTGAATCTGGACAGATCTTGTAGCAAGGGCCAAGTTCAAAGAGGCATTCACTTAAAATAAAAAATTGGCATGTCAAATTCTGCAATCTGAATATGTATAATTTGTTTTACATAAATTTGTCATAAAACGAGTACCTAGGCTGCACATAGTGGCAAACCAGAGCTTTTTTAGAATCAGCTCATTTTTAATTTCCTCATTTAGGTACTCAAGATTTAAACCAATTTCTTATGTATGATAATGCTGCCTGCTGGTACGTATCCATGATACTTTACTGGTCTACTTAAGTTATAGGACTCAAAAATGAACTTGAGGGAGAGTCTAAAAAACTCTCTAGGCTAGGCATGTTCTTACTGGCTACTGCTACCGTGCTACGTGCTGATCAAATTCAGCGGCAGCACCTAAGAATTCACAATTTATTCCACCCTTAAATCTGAATACCAAGTTTTTTAACTACCGTCGGAAGCTAAGAACATAAAAAAGTATTTGGGTTATGATAAACATTCACGTAGAGCTCTGTTAGCTAATTTTTTCGATTTTCTATTGTACGATATAAAAACGCATACGAACATAAGCAAACATTTACTGGTAACAACTTACGAAATTTCTGGTTGCTAATATATGTAAAAATCTTTAAGAACACAGTAACTGTCAGTAGCTTGTAGCTAGAATTACTTTAGCGCCGCAACTATTACAGTGATAACTGATGACTGATTGTAGCGCGTACTCGCCAGTGAGTCGCCACTCGGTACTCGTAGCCCAAGGAGACATCTGAGCAAAGTTGAACGAAGAATGAACACGTTCATTACTCGTTTGGTCATCAACCAATCCTAAACTAATAAGGTATGTAGTTACTATAATTGATTTTACGCCCAATTTATTGACTAAAATGTATATATGAATTAAATTGGCATTTCATTAGTTGTTCATTAACTTCATTTATAGTTTGTGTTGAGCGGTCACACCACAGATTCGGTCGCTTATGGGGAGCGTGAGGTTTTACGGCCGGACTCGCGGTCGGTCTCACGGTCAATATCCGAATTCAATGTCCAAGGAATATCTCCCAAAGTAATGAACGCAGCTCGATGAAACTTGATACACGTATTCATCATGACCTAACGGTGATGTTTAGCACGTGAAAAAATTTTCCATTCCACCTTCATTCGTGAGTTATACCTAGTGGTATACTATAGTATCTTCGGCATTGAAGAATAGGCCTGTCGCAGATTCTTGTATTTTTCTTGACTAGACTGGCCTTTCGATCAAATATTTTCAACGGACTGCAAATTTCGGCCCGAATTGCCGTATGAATATAATATATAATTGACGAATGAAGGTGAAATGGGAAAAAATTTCACGAGCTAAACATCACCGTTAGGTTCTGCTGAATACGTCATTACGTGTACCAAGTTTCATCGAGCTGCGTTCATTAGTTTGGCAGATATTCCTTGGTCATTGAATTTGGAGATTGGCCGTGAGACCTGCCGCGTTTCCAGCCGTAAATTTGTCCGAGATGTACCGAATTATTTGAAAGTTTCCTTTAATCAAAACCAAAGTTCACAAAAATCGGCAAAGATTTCAATGGCAGCGTATTGAAGTTATTAGTTATGTTCTGAATTTCAGGAAGATCTTTTCAGATTAGATTTCAGATAATATTCCAACGAGGCTCGCAGGAGAGTATATTGTGAATAAATAGCGTAGTTAAAACTTTGGTCGCGATCGGTCCTGATTTGACAACTTATGCGCGGAAAACCAGCTGTGAAATTAGTTCCAAGAGTGTCGGAGCGGTTCTTTCAGAAGATTCTCCATGAACTGTTTTATTACTTTTAAAATATGGTAATCCGGGGCTCGCCGGGTCAGACATGAAATTTCGCAGATCGTTGGTAGCTGCGGTCGAAAAAGAAAATCGAAAATGGGTTGCGGTGCCTAGAGAGAGAGTCGGCGGAGATCATTCAGTAAACATATTACAATTATGCTCTGTGATTAAAGTAATACTTATCCATTCATCTAGCTTCATACTTTCATTGAATTAAATTTTTCCGAATACAATTCTATTGTATGGTATAATTTTTTTATGAATATTTATAATTTTTGCTTCACACTGACCCACACATAACGAAAAGATCTGTAAAAAATTCATTTTAAACTATTTGAATGGCGTAGGAAAAATATTTGTATTAAGACGCTTTGGAGACATGAAATGTTAGCAGAAATGTGTAAAAAATGCAGGAATAAAATATTTAAAATCGTATGAAAACGCTTCGACGTTCCCGTACCTTTGGCCTCAACGTTCCTCTGCTCGGTAGCAGAGACACATACGTCACGCCATAAGCCCCAGAGGCGAGTCTCTTGCCTATACTTTATTCGAAGCAAAATTCTGTCCTTTAGTCTGGACTATTTCTTGCTCTCAAATTACCTCATTTTTTTCATACATCAGGTAGTGATATTCAATGATTGCATTTCTTGTTAATGTTCATCAAGCTTGAATTCGTTTGCCTGCAAGATGGTTGTACGTTACTTGTCATGGTTGACCGAGCCTGCAGTGTAACGATCACGAGAGCTTTAATAAATTACATCGTTTCCTTGTATTCAACATTTTCATTTTCTATACAAATTGTGATTAACAGAACGTTTCTCGCAAATATTCAGATATTATATTGCTGGAAAAATCCACAGTATTTAGGTAACTCGAGTCTAATTTCTTATATTTCGCAGTTGAGTTCCAAATAATCATTGACTTACATTCTGACTGAAGTCAATAAGTCATTACATTCTAAGAAAACAATGACTGAAGAGCCATTCTATGACATTACAGTCTCCACGTGATTTTTAGCGCATTTTCTCATTTATGGAAAAAATGCACTATTGTGCTCGCCATGTCCGTCCGTCTGTCCGTGACCTCAAGTTTTCGTCGACGAGAAAATGCGCTCTCTGTCACTCACTGCAGTGAGCACTGAGTTATATTTTTTATGTATGCTTGTATGTCCACCGTTAAGGGTTGTGATGTTCTAAGCTATCAGAGACATGACAATGTCACGTGTAACTGTGATGTGCACTGCAAACGTTTGCTACGCTTCATGGATTGGGGCGCAATATATTACGATTCATCACTTTTTTAATATATATGAAATTTATATTTACTCACAGCCTGGACGAAAATATGACTGTAAATTTTGCGGAGCTTGGCAGCTATGAATGGATCCGAGGTTTGCGACTTCAATCTTCAACTATAACCCAAAAATTAATTGGTTATAGAAGCCATAAACGGACGAACCTATACACAATTGAACCTATATTGAGTATACAACGCCATTAATGGACAAAACCTGTACACAACTTTAGAGCTGTGTAGAATATATATGTTAATGTAGATTATGGAGGCTATGCACGCTCAATGTATCTGTTGGTAGAGTCGGCTTAGCGGTTACAATAATCTTTCTTAAGGCAGGAATATCAATAGTAGGATTCAGCGAGTCAAATTTACGACACGTGGATGAGCTACGGAAGTGATAGAGTAAAAGACCAAAAGCATAAATTGTGTCATTCAAAAATCAACAGCAAAATCCCATAAATATATTAGATGTCGGCAGTATCCTGACCGCTAACATACTGTGCTATGTGCACACTGATACCATTTATTAATATTCCCTTCAAAACTTAAACACGGTGGAAATTTACTTTAAAAAGCAAGATATGTAATTTAATTCTAACACAATGTTACAGGAATGAAAAATCGATTACTGAAGTAATTCTGCTTCAGACATCAAAGCGCTAACACTGCACAAAAAAGCTGATAAACATCAAAACTCGGCTGGGATGAATAGCTGAATGCTCTATTTCTTCTATTTTCACTTTTTCAGCACAAAGTCGCAGCTTTAAAAAAAAAGAAATGTTGCTTCGAGTTCCGTTTAATTGCTGCACATTTTTCTTGATTTCCATTGGAAGGAAATCGTGCCACATTACAAACATATCCTAATGCCACAAAGCTTACATATCTTCATGTTCGAGTAAATGTTATAGCTCAGAATACTGTGAAAAAAATTGAAATTTAACAGCCACAATTTAAATGATAATTTAAATGGCAGTGCCAAGTATCAACAAGGCACAGGCAACGAGTTCTTGATCAAGTTGGTGAAGTTCTTTGTCGAAGTTCTGAAGTTCTTGATCAAGTTGGTGAAGTTCTTTGTCGAAGTTCTGAAGTCTCTAATGATGCACATATTCCACATAGTCTCTACCAACACATATTCCATTGATTTCTAGAATTTAATAAAAACTTAATGCAAATAAATAATAGAGAATCTTCAGTAATTACTTGCGATTTATATATAAAAGAATACGGAACATAGAATGCAAGCAAATGGAATTGATAACTTATTTTTCCAATCGGCGCTTCATCTCTAGCATCTTCTTAATAGAAATCCTAGTAGTATCTCCTTAGCCCGCACATTGTTGGCACCTACAACAGAATATAATAAATTTTTTTTGTTATACGAGGCTCAAAAAACTCTCACGCGCCATTAACACTATTATGATAACATTAATTTCACGCGACCCAATATAACAGCTTGATAATTAACTCAGTCGAGTAACTAACATATCGTGATCATATTTATCGGATTGTAGTTTGCGATATAATGTAGATATTTCCAAGTAGGATTACATTTACAATATTATCGTAAGTTATATAAATATTGGTTCTTAAAAATGACGCATATCATCAAACAAATAACGTAAAGTATATATAATAAAGTAAGAATTCAACTGCAACACTAAAGGCATGGAGCTGTAGAGGCAACGTAAGACATCGGTCGCCACACTCTTACTTCTTACACGCACGTTTATTACTAATGTTATGTACAAGAAAAATAATTCCATTCGTCCGGAACTGTGATAATTAAAGTGAGAGTCTCGACCGTGTAGCTGTGGCACACGACATTCATAACCAATAACAGCACACGACATTCTCGACGAATCACAGCTGACGATATTCATGGCCAATCACTGCACACAACATTCTTGACCAACCACAGACCACGACATTCATGGCCAATCACAGCTGACGATATTCTTGGCCAATCACTACACACAACATTCTTGACCAACCACAGACCACGACATTTTTGGCCAATCACTGCACACGATATTGTTGGCCAACCACTGCACACGAAATTTTCAACCAATCACAACATGAGAAATTCTCGACCAATCACAACACACGAAATTTTCAACCAATCACAACATATGAAATTCTCGATCAATCGCAACGTAAGAAATCCTCGACCAATCGCAACGTAAGAAATTCTCAACCAATCACAACATATGAAATTCTCGATCAATCGCAATACAAAAAATTCTCGATCAATCACATCACACGAAATTTTCAACCAATCATAACATAAGAAATCCTCGACCTATAGCAACGTAAGAAATTCTCAACCAATCGCAACACACGATATTCTTGTCCAATCACAGGCCACATTCTCGACCAATAAAAAAGGGCATTATGTGGAGGGCAGTCGTGCAATAATCCAGAAAACTAACATTGAACAGGTAGCATCACAGTCTCTACTAATTTAAATTATCTCTTTATTAACACATTCCTTTAAAACAAGAGCCACATTAACACAGCCTACCCCCAAATAAACATAGAACATCAAACATTACAACAAAAAGAGCACCAAATAAATTATAATTTAGGATGAAAACGTGCCACCTCCGGACCCTTAATGTGTGTGAACGACGCCTTTAAACTTAATAAGTCTCAAATCTTAATAAGTGGCGACGCCTCAAAACTTAATAAGTTTCAAAACTAAATAAGTCTCAAATCTTAATAAGTTTCAAACCTTAATAAGTCTCAAATCTTAATAAGTGGCGACGTTTCAAAACTTAATAAGTTTCAAAACTAAATAAGTCTCAAATCTTAATAAGTTTAAATCTTATTGAGTGGCGACGCCTCAAAACTTAATAAGTCTCAAATCTTAATAAGTTTAAATTTTTATAAATCGCGACACATCAGAACTTAATAAGTAAACAACGACAATGGAATGACCGAGAGAACGTAAACCTTGACAGAAAAAATAATATTGTGAGCTTCGCAGCAACAATAACGTAATAAATTTAGAAAACATTGCAGTACAGAAGTACAATACATTCATGACGTACAATATAATAATAAAGTACAATATAATAATAAAGTACAGTAAACAAGAAGCGCACAACATAGAATACTAAGCAATGAGCAAATGTACATAATGATTCGGGGAAAAAATAAATGAATTTTCTGCATGAATATTGTTTTCATGAATATATAAATATTTACGTAGAAAATTTGTATTAGAATTTAGACACTTGCATACATCGGGTGATACTTTCAGCTGAAGGCAAATACATCGGGTGATACTTTCAGCTGAAGGCAAATACATCGGGTGATACTTTCAGCTGAAGGCAAATACATCGGGCGATACTTTCAGCTGAAGGCAAATACATCGGGTGATACTTTCAGCTGAAGGCAAATACACCGAGTGATACTTTCAGCTGAAGGCAAATACATCGAGTGATACTTTCAGCTGAAGGCAAATACATCGGGTGATACTTTCATCGAGTACACAAATGATCTCGATTTACTTCCAGATGGCGTTAGTAAAGTATGATGACATCAAAAGTATGAATAGGCATCATAAGTATGATGACATTATGAGCTGATTGTACTTTTCAACACATGCAACTCGAATATAGTGGTGCTTTCATTCATTATATTTCATGAACCGTTAAATCAATCAAACTGTTCAATAACGATGCAGAATTTTGAACGCGATTCAAGAATAATGAGAACAACTAAACACGATTAATAGCTTTTCTTTTTATAGAAAAACCTCGATTTTTTTGTTCGAGTCGCTCGGAGATTTCACTGCAAGAATTCATATTCAGTCGGTATAGAGCAGCGGACATTGACAAAGAGGAAATGAAAAAGAGAAAATGTAGTATAGGAAGTAAAAAAGAGGAAATAAAGCTGAGGAAATGAATTAGAGTGAATGAAAAAGAAGAAATGAAAAATAGGAAATGAAGCAGTATACGCGTCGCAGACGCCGACTGCGTAGGAGAAATATTCCGGCAGAATACAGGCGTTACTTGTAGATATTCAGGCAGAATACAGGCGTTACTTGTAGATATTCAGGCAGAATACAGGAGTTCTGCAGCTGTAGATGTTCTGCAGCTGTAGATGTTCTGCAGCTGTAGGGGCTCACTACACATGTGTAGCAGCTGTATTGAATGTAGCAGCAGATGTACTGGAGTCAGACAACGTCTGTATACAGGTGTTGAGCAGCAGCAGCTGCGCCTTAGCATGTTTCAGCTGCAGTTCTGCCAGCCCCACGAGGTTCTTACGGAAGTGGGCGACGCGACGCTGGCCGAACGTCGCCAGTTCTGCGGCGTATAGATCTCGGTCACGTACTAGTAGAACTTATATATCCTAAGTGCTACTGATTTCTTATGTACTAGTTATATCCTAAGTATTACCTATATCCTAAGTATTACTTATATCCTAAGTACTGCTTATATCCTAAGTATTACCTATATCCTAAGTATTACTTATGTCCTAAGTATTACTTATATCCTAAGTACTGCTTATATCCCAAGTATTACTTATCCCAAGTAATACTTATATCCTAAGTACCTATATTATTACTTATATCCTAAGTACCTATATTACTACTTATATCCTAAGTACGGCTTATATCCTAAGTATTATTTATATCATAAGTATTACTTATATCCTAAGTACTGCTTATATCCTAAGTACCAGTTATACGGTATCCTAAGATAGTGTACATAGCAAGTACCACCAAGTGTTCCTGTCAATCTACTTTAAACTACAAAAAGAATTCATTCTTACTAACTATGCGTAAAATCTCTGCCTAATTCAACACTTTTATAACCTCCTCACCCAGTGAATTTATTAATTAAATTATTATTTGTTTTAATTATTTAATTAATTTAATTTAAGCCGTGTCACAAGGCGGAAGTGTGGTCGTTTTAGTTCTAATGCATTTTGTGCTGAAGCGTTTCAGTAAAAATACTGAAGTGAAGTCAGTGAAAGAGAATGCGAATAAAGAGCGGAAGCGAGCAAAAAAATTGTTCCCCAATTTTCTTACTGAAAAATGAATTTAAGCTAGCGAGTGAGGGCTCAGTGTAACTTAACTTACTTTTTTAACTTAAATAACTAACTAAAAAGTAACTAACTTTTTAACTTTAACTTAAAGTTAACTTTTAACTTTAACTTAACTTACCCTCTTTTGCTTTCTCGGAGATCAGTTCGAAGCGTTCACAGGCGTTCTGTTGCGCAAGCTCCGCCTGTAAAAAACAAATACATTGGATTTCAAAAAAATTTAATCAAATTAATATTAAAATATACTAAGGCACTCTTAATAATCCTAGAAAAAATTAACTAGCGCAAACTCAGTCTGTAAAATACCAATAATTCAAGAAAATTTTATCGAATTAATATTAGAATATACCAAAGTAACCTTAATTTTTCTCGAAAAATTCAACTAAAATTAGCAGGCATCCATGCAGTCAGCTGTGCGTCCGAGCAAAGTAGGAATAAAAATAATAGGTTTTTAAACAAAGAATTTGAAGACAATTTGAAACAAGTAAGCATTTAAAATTATAATAATAATGAATTGTGCCATACAATCTAAATGAGAGGGATAGACGAATGTTGTTTATTGAATAGAAGAATGTTGTTTATTAAATAGACCGAATGTTGTTTATTTAATAGACCGAATGTTGTTCATTGAATAGACGAATGTTATTTATTGCATAGACGAATGTTGTTTATTAAAGACACAAATGTTGTTTATGTAGAAACCGAGGGCAAGAAATGCACATGCTACATTGAGGGTATTAGGAGCCAGTAACAGTGATACGAGGGTAATGATACTTTAGGAGGGTATCAGGAACCAGATAACAGAGATACGAGAGTAATGATACGATAGAGAGGTAACAGGAGCCAGATAACAGAGATACGAGGGTAATGATAAAGCACTCCACTTGGTCAGCTTTGATCTCGCTATTCTCATTGCTAACCACCCGCTTTTTGGCTGGCATTTGTTTGCCCATTATTGTTGTTGGTTTTATACAGCAATATGCCTTCTTATACAGCAACTCATCACACCATTAATGTTGGAGGGAAAAGTATATTCTGCCTAACCTATCAGTTCTGAATTTTTCTCAGATGAAACAGAAAGAAAAAACAGCAACAGCCAACACAGAGAAAACAGAACAAAAAAATGAACAATATACTTTGAATAAACTATCTTTGGTTAGGGGGCAGGGTGACAACACAAGGGAAATATTTACATTACTAGGTATTGTCACTTGATTAGTTTCACATGGTTACTTTGTTATTATTGGGAATGGGATTAAGTGCAAACTGCAAACCAGTATAGTAGAGTAGGTAAGCCTACATCATAGTGAAAAAAGACAGTAAGAAGCTAGTGAAAAAAGGTTAGTTTCTGCATGGAATAGGTGACAATTATGCAGATTGCAGACTTGCAGTTGCCGGCGCCGAGTAGGTATGGCCGTATTCATTAGTCACACAATTTAGTCAGTTAGCTATTCATGACCAACCACGTCCACCAAAGTCCAAAATCACACAAATTTCTTTTAATCACTTCTCACTCATGTCTCTTTCATTTACTTTTTTCTTTCATTTACTAGAACACACCACGGCGTCACGCGTGCGCCATCTTCAATTTTTGATTACTCCCAAATTTACTCCCTGAAATTTCCAATGGCAATTTCCAATTGTAGAAAATTTATTTCGGTTATTTACGGACGGATCACTTTGAAACTTGGTACACATATGTAAATGATAAATGTAAGACTTTTTTGTTCCTGTGAATTTTTCGAAAAAATGAAAGAAAATGTGAAATTCATAGAAAACCGCCAAAAAGGAGGCACTGTAGAAATTTATCTCCTCCGAGGATTTTCAAGCTACAACGTCGAGACGCATATCATTCGATGCGTAAGGACTATAGCTATATGTATCTATCGATTGGTCCTTGCTGTTTTTCGAAATTATAATTTTTGTGGGTGGGGTGGGCATTTTTCGAAAAAAATTTGATTTCTCCCCCCACCCTTTCAAATTTCTCCCCCTTTTTTCAAAATATTTTCAAAACTATAACGAAATTGAAAAAAGCTACTACCAATCTCTAGATCTTTTATTTGCGAATCGAACGGTATATCTCTCATTGCTGTAGCTTAAAAACTCTACCTAGGAGGAGGTAGGTTTGCAGTGACAATAAGTGTGAATGTTCAGTAGAGCGCGGCAAAGTCCCGAGCGCCTCGAAATAGGCATTCAAGGTGGTTTGGATGCAAGACTAGACGTTACTGGAGCTGAAATTCAGTCAAAGATGGTGTGAACGACTGCACGAGCACCATCCCACACGACAGCAGCCTGGTAACAAGATCAGCGTCTTCAGCCCTTCAGGTCGTCTATTTATGAGCCCGGCCGGTAATTTTTGCCTATATTAAATGTGAAAGAACTTCTTCACCCCAAACCCTTTCGCGAACTGTCGTCAAGGCATAAATCAACGTACAAAGATGATTTCGGTACCGTTGGATAGGTCAGAATGTCAGCTTTAAGGTGAGACTAAAAACCGGAAAAGTGAAATTTACGATTTTTGACGCAGAAATTCGGGCGGTAAAGGGTTATAGAGAGCAACTAACGTACGTCCGTCCTCCACGAAGTCCCGCGTCTACGTTTCGCTGAAGACTCAGAAAATGCTGATGAGGCGGACGACTGATCCCATGGAGTGCCGCGGCCGGGCGTATTCCGCTAACATCATACATTCCGACATTATTCATAATAAAGCATACACACTGATTACGAATTGTTGTAGGTCCTTATCTGCATGGTCCAACCATGATCACTTAACGCAGTGGAAATCTCAAATTTGTTGGCTATATTAAGCTACCGAGCAATAGAGCAATACACCAAGGAGCAGGTGAACAATGTTCATTCTATTTCCATTTTTCTTAGAATAAAGCAGATATTCAAAGCCCGAATTTTCGGAACTATTTATTGACATAATAAAGCGCACAGTAACATATGGTCATACGATTCATGTCATCATTCATCAGAGATATAAAACTGATGATTGATAAAAGCTACGCACGAACACACCAGAAAAGTCTCGGTCTCATATTTGTTACACTGAAATCGGTTCAACATGCCCGATAAGGTAGGAGTCCAGTAATCACAGTGACAAACTAGTAAGAGTATTTTTTTGTTTCTGGTCCTACATTTTTAACGATTTGCGTTGCTAAGAGCCATGTACTGACTGTACCACCTGTAATATGCTTACATTGTAGATAATCTTAATGCAGCTCTAGCAATAGCAACAGGGTGAGCATAAAATGTACCCAGCTTGCCACTAGGGTCCAGCTATTCACTACGCGCATCAAGAACAACCACCTCGGTAATAACAATAAGTATTCGTACAGATGAGTTCTGTACATAAGCGTATCACCTCTCCTAAAAATGAGGGTCAAAACAATAGCGAAAAAATTAAAACAAACACGTATGCCGTCACCATAACCTTATTTAAATGGTGAGGACATCAACAGAGGAAAGTAAATATTCCTTTAAGAAACAAAACTTAGCACTGTAACATGGTTACAACAAATTTTTCCATTGAATGATGTCAAACAGCAAAAAGTCGCAGAAGGTACATGTTTTGTCGCCACAATGAAAAAAATTTTAGGCTAATTTTATATCATCACCAATACTGAAATCTACAAACAAAACGTTCTCAAATGTGTTTACATAGCAATCGTCATTGGTTGAGCATCTTGTCATTGCAATGGTAACGTGACAATAACGTAACGTCCACGTATTATTACTATTGCTTCGAAGCATTACAGCCATTTTGCTATCACGGCTAACGAAATAAATGGGATAATTTGTAATCCTGTTATTGGGCTCTACTAAGCTAAGGCAGAGCTACGTCTAGACGTACCTGCTTACTCATCCTGACTTTACGTTTATAGTTTTGTACTAGAATAAACAAACCCTAAAAACATACCACAAAAGAACAGAAAGAAGTAAACAAAAATCAACCATCATCACCTCGAAACTGGGTTGAATCATAGCGACATTGCGAGGGACGACCTCATAAATAAAAATTTAAGAAATTTTTTTCATTCTTACATTAGAAAAAAGAAATGTCTCCACAGTGCTCGAGGATATCTCTAAAGGATAAAAATTTCTCTTATTATAAGATTAGAAGTGTGAATTTAAAGTGAATAGCGAAAGGAGATTTGAATGTGCCAAAATCTCAGTTCAATCAGGTGGAAAAATATTATTAATAAAAAATCAAGACCTCACAACAAAAGCACCCACACTTAAATCATGCACGCAGAGAAGTGGATTGGTGTATTATATACGAATGGCAATTCGAGAAAATTCAAGTAAATTAACTGGAGTCGCGATGCTTTCATGGTGAATAAATCAAGAAGTCATAATATCCTTAAATTTTGTAGCTGAAACGCGTTTTTTGATGACACCAATTAATGAAATTCATGGAACTGGTGCTTAACTTTGTTGATCCCGGAAAGCCTTATAATTTATGGCTGTAACAACAAAAAAAATTCTACGCCCCAACATAACTTTGGGAGGTTTATCCATTACCAGCAAAGTTATTTGGAGCAAAGAAATGAAAAAAAAATACTAATCCAGTTAACCATCATAATGTTTCTTAAGACATGTAAGATCAGTCGTTTTATCTCACAATAATGTACAAAGTAATATGTTAGAGAGAAAAATTACATTATAATGCCATGTCAATAAAAAAAACTTTAAGCAAAACGTCTCATGTCAGCGAGAAAACTGCTATCTTCCGTTTTTCACTGACACATTTACAGTTTTATAGAATAGATAATCATGTGTGGCATTGTACACACAAGTCAAACACAACAAACTGTTGAAGCTTTAGACTGTCTGTCCAGATAAACTCAGTCCAGTCAGATTACTTTTCCTATTAAGGTTATAATATCAAAACCAAAACAAATTACAGGAAATGTGGTTTGTCCATCATGATGACTATTGACCCGACTATGCAATAGAAGGACCACATTTGTAGAGCCTCAACAACACCTCAAGATTGAGAGACGTAGGGCGAACAACCTTCCCCGTGGACGAAGGGTGACCCGTTCAACACTGGGAATGGAGGCATGTTTGTTGAGGCATCATAGGTCTCCATAAACGGGGACGACCCATCGTTCAGGTCAAACCTCGCTCCCTGAGGAGGAAATTCGTTGGGAGTGTGGGGGAGGGAAGTAGGAGGTTGGGGGTGGGTGTAGAGAACCGCAGTGCCAGGCTCGGAGAGCGTATAATGGGCGTAGCCAGGATACAGAAAAATGGGGGTGCATCCTGGAGGGGGAGATGTCGGAGGTGGAGGGGGAGAAGCGCTCAACGCATCTTCTTCGTTCATCCCCTCGAACTGAAAGAAAAGTGAAATCAAAATCAACGATGCACGAGCATTGCAAGGTTAAATCTAAGTTAATACAATTGGTGTTATTAGTAACTTCCCATTTAAAAACATAAAACCACTTAACAACTAATAACTTTTAAAGTCATGTTTGAAGCACTAGAACCAGAGTAAAGTCACAGCTGTGTCACATTAAGGACACCAAAACCATGTCGAACAAAACAAACAACTGTTAAAATCTATATTTATCCAAAAGTTCTCATTTCTTCAATTAGATTTGTTTTCTGTACATAAATTTTATGAAATGCCCCAGCGCAGCCCGAAATGCTCAACTATGCAAATTAATAGCTCACACAGAGACATAAAATTTCAGGATTTGCATCCTTGTAGACTATCAGCATTTACATCATTCAGGATTTAGAACCAAACCACGTATCAAGAAAAAAATTTGCCTTTCACGATTTCATTAAAATAAATTTAATTAGAAATTGTAGCACTACCGCATCTTAAAAATAAAGAGCAACACCATCATGGAACTTTGCTCTACACTACACTTCGGTACAGACAACGTCATTAATAATTAGACCCACCACTTTGATGACGCGAGTGCGAGGCTTGTTTTTCTTCCTGAGTTTCTTCTCACGAGGAGGACGGACTCCAGACGTGCCATCGCCATTGTCCTGTTCCTCGGAAGGTGGTGGGGGCGGGGAGTGGATTTCCTCTCCTCCCGATGGCGAGGTCCCTTCCCCAGGCAGCACACCGTCAGCGAACCTGACGTTCTTCCCCGACGAGACTCCGCGTATTCTGCACACCCGGAAATTTTTCAGGTAAACCCAACTTGCCAAATACGCATGGACTGCAGAACAGATAGAATAAGATAGCTGGTATCTCTGATACAAGGCATATGGTTTTCAAGGCAAACAAACGAAGAGCGCAGATGCTTCTTCACACAAGCCGACCTAAATGGAACTCATAACATCTTTCTGCTATGCCGCTATGCTTCCAATCAACTGCAGCCTGAATCTGTTTTCCTTAACCAAGCCATATAATCATTATATTTGAGAGTATCTCACCAACTACCCATTTTTGAACAAACCAAAGATATGATAGTTTTGTCCCCCAGAATCTTTACATCAAAACAACACATAATACTCTACCAGCTCTCTGATTATTACATAATAACCAAACCATCACTGTACTATGAAATATCTTGTTTTGGCAGACATTGCTGGGCCATACAATACATTGATTAATTCCGTCGTTTGAGGTTCACAGTCGATTGAGTGACAGGTCAGAATTCGTGAAAGCAACGTTATCAAAGAAATCTATTCTTATGTAACTTCGTCGGGACATAAACAATGTTGGTTTCAGTTCACTTGGCAAAAAGCCAAGTGAACGTCATTGATAATGACTCATGTACGAAGCTCACCTGTAATTGGGACTCATGAGGATGCCGCGGTCAGGTGCGGGGGCGGGCATGTATTTCTGAAGCCTCTTCTCCATGGCCTCCTCCGCCTGCCGCAGCGATTCGGCACGCGCCTCTTCCGCCTCGGCCTCGAGCTCGTATTCGGCCACCGGCGAGCCCAGGTTCGGTTCCTCGCTCATGGCTTCCTGAAAATAGAGACATTCAACAGTGGAATTGTGGAATTTCTTCTCAAGTGGCGGGAAATTCGTCACGGGAAATATTTGGGCAATTGCAAGTTCTGAAGAAAAAAAAAATTTTTCAAGGTCTTAGTAGAAAAAACGTTTTATAAATTGTTCGAAGTGGACAGTTATATGAATTCAGCAACCTGAACAGCTTTTGATACTAAAATTAATATTTTAAAATATCTAAATAAAATAATTTCTCCATTTCCTAACTGAATTTAGTTGAGATAAAGAAGATTTAAAAATTCGATAATATATAATGAAAACAAATTTGAATCGATAAAATTCGTGTAAGAGAAAGACCATGAAACGATGACACACTCTGATGGTAGCCTCATCATCATCGCTGTCCTGCTGCTGCTGCTGATCAGCAGTTCTCTGCTCCTCGGCAGTGCGTCGCGCTTCTCGTCGAGCTTCGCGCTCCAGTCGCCGCCTCTCACGCCGCTCCTTGCGAAGCTTGCGCGCGTGCTGCTGTTGCTGCTTCAGCAGTTCAGCTTGTCTCTCCTGCTTCAGAAGTTCTTCCTGCTGAAGTTGAAGCTCTTCAACCGACGGCTGTGCAGGAGGCAAAGGAGGAGCCGGAACCGGTATAGCCGAAGTCGCCGGAGCACGGCCAGCAGTCTGGAATGTTCATCCGCATATGAAACTTTATAATATCGATTTCATGAGCATTGGGGTATACTCAATCATTCTTTATATCGCCATACAATTTGGTATGAAAATACATAACATTTGTAGAATATAAAAAAAAATTCCGCGCCAGAACAAAAAATATTCATTATTTTTTGTACCATGCATGAGTACAATCCAATCATATGCGTAAGCAGCATTCATACACGACAATTCACCGCAATGTAGTTCGATATGCGTCTTTAACTAAAAATAACTCGTACCATACACAACATTAAGACTATGACACGCGACTCTACCTGGAAATAACTCGTGCCATACACAACACTAGGACTGTGACACGTGACTCTACCTAGAAATAATTCGTACCATACACATCACTAGGACTATGACACGCGACTCTTTCTGGAAATAACTCGTCCCACACACAACACTCGGACTATGACACGCGACTCTTTCTGGAAATAACTCGTCCCACACACAACAATAGGACTATGACACGCGACTCTACCTGAAAATAACTCGTATTATACACAACACTAGGACTATGACACGCGACTCGACCGGGAAATAACTCGTACCATACACAACACTCGGACTATGGCACGCGATTCTACCTAGAAATAAGCAAATAGCTCGTACCACACACAACATTAAGACTATGACATGCGACTCTACAAGGAAATAACTCATACTATGGTACCAAACACTAGGACTATGACACGCGACTCTACCTGGAAATAATGCATATCATACACAACACTAATACTACAGCCCAGTGAAGGAACCTGCTGCAAGAGGGAGATGAGCTGAGCCACGGCGCTGGGGTTGGCGCTAGGGCTGCCAGCAGCGGCGGCGGCGGCAGCAGCGGCGGCGCCCGCCACGATCAGCGGTAGGATGTCGGCGCCCGAGTCTGTTTTACCGTCCGCGCTGGTCGAGGAGCTTTTCTCGAATCCAGAAATCTGAGTACGAGAATAAATTTAGTCTGAAATAGATTAACAATTATAATAGGTGGTGAGACTAACAGTGATAATGGCGTTCAGAAATAAATAGAACATATTCTTTCTAAATCGTAGTCTAAAATGAGTAAAATATATAGCGCGTACACACAATACTTAGTTAGTATCTGGATATAATCTGGACCACTACATTTATTCTTGCTGGGAGAATAGTAAAGCACTGCAAAACTGGGAGGAAAAGATTGAAGCAAGAATTTAAATTAAATATTTTCAATTGTAATACACAATTTTAATTTAGAAAAAAAAAATTTGGAAAAATTGTAACAAGAAGTCCAAGTAAATAAAATGCGAGTTTGAACAGGACTTTCATTAATTAGCATAGATTATTGTTCGTCTTATTAACGGTTTTTGGATAACAGAACATTAAAAATGCAGGAATTATTGATCCAGGGCAATGCAGGGCTAACTGCTTTTAACGATCTATATTGTAATATATAGATCGTTATTTTATTTTTTATTAATAATATGTATTAATTTATTATTTTTTATTAATGTAATAAATGCGATGTGTATAAATCAATTGAATCTACGCTGTTGCCTTTAATGAATCTTCCATCTTGTGAACTCATCATAGGCAAATTATAGAATCTTCTTCTCACTTCCTTTGAACGGCGAAATTGCAGGACTTTTAACGTACCGAAAGTGAAGTTTAAGCCGCTTCAATTGACAGAAGACTAGTAACACAACGAAAGAAAATTCACATTACTAAAGAAATTTTTTAAGTATCTGCAAAATCGGAAAAGTAAGAAGGCAGAACAATGAACCGCGCACACGAAAACACTTTTCACTCGATGCTTGCATAAATTCTCATGTGAGAATAGTGTAGTAAAAAACACACTATAGTCAAATTAAATATCAAATCGTTATAATTTTCTACGCTTTTAACAAGTAAGAATATGAAAAGCAAGCATGACAGGTAAATGCACAGGACGCGATTAAATAGGACACATTTGACTTACATCAGTAAATCAAGAAATCTAAATGATATGATAAGCAGAAATAAGTGCAATTCCTGAAATAAACCTCAAACATGTACCTATTGTAAAAAAATAATGCCGTATTAATTTTATGCATCATCGAAGCCAACAACCTGACATCTAAACTTGAAAGGAAACATTGCGATTTTTCAAGCCTCAGCACGAAATGATATGGATAATCATTCGTAAAAAATCGGAAAATGGCCATTAAGCTACGATTCCTGAGCAGAACTACGTAAGTACGAGATTCTCTAAGGAAATATTCACCACTTTGAAGTTCTGGGGCCATACTTTCAAAACTCGCTAAGTGAACGTAAGTACTTACGCTCTATTTTCTTATCTATGATTGGTGGATTTTGCTTGAAAGGCAGTCAATGATTGGCAGATGAACTTACGATCTCTTAACTTTTATTGAAAGTATAGGCACAGGAAACTTATGTTTGACTCTTAACCTACGCCAGGTCGTTAGTTCGTCCGTTAGGCGTGTCAGGTCGCAATTGTCAACACTCGCTTCCAAGAATTTCGATCACCTCATGTGCAATTATTAAATCTTAGAACAGATTTTTAATTATGCACGCTTGCATTTTACAGTAAAGCGAATACGGTAATTTATGACAGCATGCAGTTGTGAAGAGTTATTGACATCTGGTGAACCACTCATAGAATAGAATTAGAATAGAATAGAAGTGTCGGCGTTTAAAAAATAGGCCCATGGCCTGTTCCGATTCTTGAACTTTTCGTGACTTGATTCACAAGGGATCCGGCCTTTGGAACCCGATCTTTCCATAGCTGACGATTGATTGAGATAGCTGCTGGACTTATTGCCTGGTCCGTAATTTGCTAGGCATTTTAAGACTGAACATATGCTCCTGCACAGCTTCGTCTAGTCTATTTTTGAAGATGTTGCTTCACTAATTTCCCCGATGACATTTTAATCTTTCATCGACTAATGCAATAAAACAGGAATAAAATTTATAGCATTTGCTGACTTATGGGGGAATATCGAGCACGATTCTGCATTCATACAATTTACGAAGTTCAGATATCATTGCGTAACTTACCCCAGCTCTGAGCTCGTCGTTAAGCCGGGAAAGAAGATTGATGTTATCCGAGGTGAGATCCTGGGGAAGCGCAAGCATTAGTAGTGCATAAACAAAGCTGTGTAACACGTGACGGCAGAACTACACTTTAATATAATTTAAAGCCGTTCCGCCCCTGATTCTGGTAATCAGAATTTGGCTGTCGCGGCTCTTAATTTTATTGTTGTAGCAGCAAGCAAGAGAAGTGAATAATGTGACAGGCCAGCCAAGTGATTTATTCCAATAGTGCAGTGCGAGTGCACACATGATGAGTTGAGAAATCGAGAAGCGTATCTTTTAAGATATAGATTTTATTTTAAATATTTGGTTATAGTGAAAATCCTGTTTGTCGTTGATGTGGCAAGAACAAAAAAAAAATTAAATCAGTACTAGCTGCAGTGAGTGAGTGGCAAGAGAGCGCAGTTTCTTGTCCGTTTGTGAAGTCACGGACGGACGGACATGACGAGCGCAATAGCACCTTTTTTCCATAAATGAGAAAATGCGCTAAAAACGATCTATCGCCACGTACGAGTTCTATATTGATGAGGACTACATCCTATTTTGAATCTTGTTGGAATGCGAGTGACCAAACGCAAATGAGGCGTGAGTAAAAATGTAGTTTAATTTAATAATTTGCTCAGAACTTAGAGAACTTAAAGCTGCGCCGACCGAATTTCTAATGAATAAAATTTTACAAAAAGATAAATAAAATGTACGGTATATCGCGATGAAAGATTGATAATTGTTCATCTTCATAATAATTGTGAAATATTGAATGTCAGGAAAAAACGGAAATGAAAGGAACGATGACGAATTCGAATGATTGCCAATGAATTATAAAGATTATCAGAAATTTTACTCGAATTACGGTATATCCTGGGTAGATGCGATGAATATGCATGAAGTTAGGAAAAGTGACAACCACAGTAATTAGCACTGAAAACGAAGCAAGAATCTAGTCGAATCTTCAAAAAGTGATGCCTAATTTGAGTGTTCTGTTTAGAACAGTCGCATGCTACAAAAATTGGAAACTAACACAAGCAATAAATGGTGAAAAAATGACATGACATGCAAATGGTGAAAATCGAAATGAACAACAAATGATCAAAAAATGAAATGTAAAACATATGGTCAAGACAAAAGCAACCAATGGTGAAAACTCTCATGACCAGCAAATGGTGAAGATAACCAACAGAGAGTGAACGAGTTCGGATCATTGGAAATACTTACTTGGTTGGAAGCAGGAAGAGGAGGTGGAGGCGGTATTTCTTGGGGCAAAATTTGTAGCATGTTACCCACTTGGATGACGTTAGATGCAGGCGATGAACTCTGCTCAACAACAAACTGTGTATTACTTTGAAATGTTATAAGGGCGTATTTCCTTCTTCATATACCTGTATTACTGACAGTACAGATATAAAAATAAGATGTTTATAAGTGAAGACATTTGAGAGGCAGGTTTTAACATGAAACAGACAGGATTTGAAAACGGCGTAACATTTCTTTTCTCAGAAATATTTTGTATTGATTTGCTTACTTAGATTGAATAGAAACAAAATAAGAAAAACTCTAACTGTAATAAAGTCATCATAGGAACCAGAATTCAGGTTTCACTATGTCGGAACTAACACCAAGAAATCACCAGTCAGATTCACTCAAGGGAACATTGCAAGAGATTATTTTCCACGAGAGCTCATTTTGACATATATTAACAAACGAATAAATATATCATCTCACAAATTTCATTACGTCAACTCACGGGAACATTCCACGATGGTTGGGAGGCGTCAATGCCAACGACCGGCGACTGAGGCTTCTCGTGCATAACAAGGCCGTGTTCCTTAGCCAGGCGGTCGTCTAGAGAGAGCCGCTCCGTGGGAGACCCGGGCGGCGAAGGTGAGAACTCAGCACCATCACGCAGGTCCTGGGTTTCATGTACGACTTCAGATGAGTTGGGACCTGTGGCAGGGATGGGTGGTGGAAGAGGAGGAGCTTCGGCAGGTAACATGAGGGAGTTCCCGGCGAGGGAAGTGTCGATGAGAACATTGTTGCTGCTCAAGTTGCGGTTTTGCCATTCTTGAAAAACTGGTTCTTCCATTTCAGCGGCATCGTAGTTCCACTCAGGCCTGTGTTCATCGGGCGTAAATTCGCCGGATTTATCCGAGTAGTGAAGCTGCACGATAGAAGGAATCTTCATCGGCGATGAAAGCTGAGCCCGAGAACCTGGTGACGAGACGGAACGATCATCGAAACTTTCTTCTCGGCTGCGATCGTTTTGACGGAAGTCAGTCTGCCAAGGATCAGCAGGTTGTCCATCGCGGTCACTGCCGGGCGAGACGCTGCTTCTTCTCCTACGCGTCTGATCATCGCGACCGAGAGGAGATCTTCCGCGCCCTCTGGATTCTCTCTGAGATTTCCGGCTGGGATCAAGAGATTGGTCACGAGAACCATCACGCCTCCTCAAAGGACTTCGGTCCCTAGAACGATCCTGTTCGCGGTCCGGAGACCTAATGCTTTTACGAATCGGAGACCTTCGGCTCTTGTTCTCCATAGATCTTTCCTCTCTCCGGTCGGGAGATCGATCTCTTTTGTTATCAGATGATCGATCGGTTTTAGTACCAGGAGATCGATCACTCTTACTAGATTGATTTCTCTTGTTATCTGGAGAACGATCTCTTTTCTTACCGGGAGATCGACCTCTTTTACGGTCAGGAGATCGATCCCTTTTACGATCAGGAGATCGATCCCTTTTACGATCAGGAGATCGATCCCTTTTACGATCAGGAGATCGAGGTCTTTTACGGCCAGGAGATCGGTCCCTTTTACGACCAGGAGATCGGTCCCTTTTACGATCAGGAGATCGGTCCCTTTTACGATCAGGAGATCGGTCTCTTTTACGATCAGGAGATCGATCTCTCTTAATTGCCGGTGATCGGTCGCTTCTAGCATCAGGAGATCTCTTACTGCGGTCAGGAGAACGATCTTCTTCCTGGTTAGGAAAACGACCTTTTCCTCGCTCATAAGATTGATCATGCTGACGATCGGGCGACTTGTCTTTCTGGCCTTCAGATTCCTCCCGTTCGCGGACCGCAAGTTTTGCCCATTGGCCATCTGAAGAAATGTCCGTTCTACCAACAGAGAGTTTGCCACTGTTGTCGTCTAGTGTCTGATTCCTGTCAGAAATTTGAGCACCGGATTCATCGTTTTTGTCGTTCGACCACAATCGTTTACCAGAGTCGAGGTGTTCCTGAGACATACTTTCCTGGCCGGTCGAGGCGATCCGTTCTGGTTTATCTGCGTTTATGGGAGAAATTTTCCGATCAACTTCAGTTGGATCCGGATAAGACCCTCCAACTTTACTTGTGATTTCAGTAACTCCTGTCTGCGGGAAGTCAGCAATATCTGAAGTCCGAACTGCAGGAGAGCCATGGCTACTATCAGCTTCGTCGATACACTCGCGAGACGATTCGGTCTGTTCACACCGAACGCTCTCAAAGACAGGTTTCGGCAGTTTCTTACGGTGGGCTTCCTCCTCTTCAAAGCCTTGCAATGCACTTTTTCGCAGGACTTTGCTCTTGCTCGTAGTCTTGAGTGAATCAAGCTTAAAAGCAATAGAACGAATCTCTCTTTTACCGACGGGAGTAGAACTTCTCGAGTCTTCGTCTTGAGATACGTCAGGTGACGGAGTGAAGCAATCATGTTCAAGCTTAGATTGAAATTTCAGAGGTTTGGTTGCTTCGTATTGCTGAGGAACGTTTACTGATGCTTCTCGAGTTGATTGCATTTCTTTTGGTGAATGTGCGGCAGGCGGGCAAATCGAGGGCATCGGTATATCCAGCGATTGTACCGAATTGTTTTCTGGCATTGAAGAATTAAATTCAGAGGTAATCTTATGAAAACTAGTACTATGGTTTGAGTAAACTGATCCTTGATTCGAACTATCAGTGCCAGGAGCTGAGTAGGACGACGGCAATGGAGGAGGACGCACGCTGCACAAAACAGAAGCCCCTTGCCTGAACAACTCGCTGAAGTCCAGCTGATGGTGTGAACTCTGAACAGGAACTGAAGGAGGAGGAGTGCTGTACAAGGATGATGGGAGAGGAAGGGAGTGGGAAGGAATAGGAGGTGGAGGGCCACTCAGTAGAAGTTGATAATGAGGTACACTAACCGCAGGAAGAGGAGGTGGAACAGACGTAAAAGAAATTGGAGTAGTAGAGACCGTAGACGGAGGAAGAGGCGGCAACACTGAAGAAGAATCTGGTGGGAAGCGAAGTTCTGAGCCTGCAGATGGGAGAATAGATCGGTCAGTTCGCTTGCCTGTTGGAAGTGGTGGAACAGCATCAGGGAGAACGGGTGGCGAAGGTGCAAGTGAAGCATTGCGGTTACCATCACTAATTTCTTCTAGGTCTGTGGACGGAACCGGTTGTTCAGGTGAATTAGATATTGAAGAATAGGCCGACGAAGGAGAATATGGTTGAGGAGAAGAGGGCGGAGCAGTCTCCTTGGCTGGCTCTGAAAGACTCGAGTTTGCAGAGCTAGAGCAAGGAGTCTGGTACACGACTTTGTTTAGATGATCTTGGTCAACTGATGTTTCATGCTGGTCAAAACTCGACTCATCAGCAAGAGAAAATTCGTCAGTAGATTCGCTATTGGAAGCTTTCTTCTTTGCTTTCTCAGCCAACTTTTTTGCTTTTTTTGCCGCTTTCTTAAGTTTTCTAGCAGCCTTTTTGGCCTTTTTCTTTTCTTTCTTTTCCTTCTTCCTCAATTTATTCCACTCAGCAGCCGACATCATTCTTTCTGAATCATCCACGGACTCAAGCTTTGTATCATCTGCCATTTCTTCTTCACCGTGAGTTTTTTCGTCTTCAGTTTTACCGATGTTCACTGCATCTGGCTCGGCACATGAAATGTATTCTTTTGATGCTGCTGATGACCTGCCAGAATGTGACACCTCTTCGGCATAACTCTGACCTTCGAGTTTCTCTGAGTCAACAAGGTGCAGGAATGTTTCATATTCATCAGCAATTCCAGAACCCGAATGAAGAATTTCACCTTCTTTGCTGATGTTCTTCTGATTTTCAGCGTCCAGTTCACTCCCCTTGCTGTGAACTTCTTGGCTTCTTTCGTCATATTTACCGTCAATTTTTTTGTGACTTCTTTCTTCATATTTTCCATCAACTTTTTCGTGACTTCTTCTTTCATATTTTCTGTCAACTTTTTCGCGACTTCTTTCTTCAAATTTTTGGTCAACTTTTGCGTGACTTCTTTCTTCATATTTTCCATCAACTTTTTCGCGATTTCTTTCTTCATATTTTTGGTCAACTTTTGCGTGACTTCTTTCTTCATATTTTCCATCAACTTTTTCATTTCTACCTTCATATTCTTCGTCAACTTTTTTGTGACTTCTTTCTTCATATTTTTCCGAGAAAGATTGAATGAATGCTTCAGCCTTCATAAGCACATTTTTGCTTTCTTGAATATATTCCTGAAGGAGAGGTTTTTTACCAATATTTCTTGAACCTTGATCATTATTTTCTTCATCAGAATCCCATTTTGATGGGATTTGACTAAGGCTCTGTCTTGATAGCCTTCCCGAGTCGTCTGAGATCCAATCCTCAGGATACCAATGAAACTGAGAAAATTCTGGGTAATTTTCGGAATTTGTATCGGGGCACACAAGGTGATCGGCATTCCAAACTTGTTCCATGATTTTGAGATCCTCGCGGCTCAATTTCATCAATGCACACTGTCTATTCATATAAAAATCTTGATTTAAACGTGGATTCTCGGCATAAGAAATGGATGGTTTTGTGGACGTTAACTGGACAATGCGCCCTGGGAACAGGACAGTCCCTTCTTCATCTTTGCTTACGGCATTGACAGCTTCCAAAACTCGGCTTTGTCGGCTTACGTCTTTGCAAGAACTCAAAAATTTCTCCCATTGTTCCCATGACATCTTCAAGCTGCAAAATTCCTCCCAATTTCTTGGCATTTGTTGAATTGTTTTTCCAGACCTGCTGCCGCTCGAGTCTCGTTTCTTATTGTTAGTACTCGAGGAACTGGATTTTGATGTTCGAGCAGATTTGGCTTCAGATGCTCCACTGCTAGTTTTTTCCTTGTTAGCGCTCTGCTCTTTCTCCTTCAACTTTTTTGCCTCTCTAGCCTCTTTTTCTTCCTTGGCAGCCTTAGCTTTTTCAATTTCCCTTTCTTTTCTCCTAGCCTTTTCCAGTTCTCGTTCTTTCCTCTCCCGCTCCTTTTTCTCCTGTTTTTCTTTCTCACGGCGTTCTTCGTCTCTCTTCCTCTGTTCTAATTTCTGTACATAATTCTTACCTTTTTCTTCAAGACGCTTCAAACTTTCAGGATTATCAAGGAAAGTTGCAAACTGAGGAGTATAGGGGTTAAAGTTCATGCCATGAACACCCAATGCTTCACGAATACGACTTTCTTGCATGATAATTTGATCAATGGACGACACCTTTTCCTCCTTTTTCTTCTTTTTGGCAGGCTGAGCAGATTTCTTGTTTTCTGACGAAGTGCTTGTACCAGCAGCTGTCTTTGCTGCCTCCTCGTCATCTGCATCTGCGAGTGCACTCTTAGCAACAGACTTGGCTGGTCGATTGAGGGCAAACGAGGTCTTCCCAGAGAAGGCAAGAAGGCGTTTTTTGGCAGCAAGTTTCCCCAGCAGAGGACGAGTTGACAACTGCGAGGAAGAAGTGGTACTGCCCTTCTCAGCTCCTGGGTCTCCCGGTGCACTGCAATCAAAAATGATTCTTATAAGACATATAAACAGTGCAAAACAATGAACACTTGTTAGATTTGTATAAGACATAAAAAGAGTGGAAAACAATGAAGACTTGTTAGATTCGTATAAGACATATAAAGAATGCAAAACAATGAAGACTTATTAGATTCGTACAAGACATAAAGAGTGGAAAACAATGAAGACTTGTTAGATTCGTACAAGACATAAAGAGTGGAAAACAATGAAGACTTGTTAGATTCGTACAAGACATAAAGAGTGCAAAACAATGAAGACTTATTAGATTCGTACAAGACATAAAGAGCGGAAAATAATGAAGACTTTTTAGATTGGTATAAGACATATAAAGAATGCAAAACAATGAAGACTTGTTAATGATCCTGGACAGATTTTTATAGCTACGTCACACTTCACTAAAATAGAAGCAATACATAAATAACATGACAAGAATACACGTATGTAGATCTAAAGCTTCAACTTCAAAATTCCTAAAGCTGGCATCTTGACAAATGCTTTTTCTTGCTTCATCTTGCAAAAAAATGCTTCATCTTGACAAATGCTTGAAATGCTTTTTCTAATGTTTATATAATTAACAAATAAATTATCAATACCTTTCAAACTTCCTTTTTAAAATTACAAGGGAAACATGTCTTGACACCATTGAAATGTTCTACCATGTAATCAAGAAGTTATTGATAAATATCAACTAAGGTTTGTGAGAAAATTCATTTTTCTACTCAGCTATTGTTTCTACAAGAGATGAATAAAAACAAAAAAAAAAAAAATATTCACTATGACTAGTAAGGAAATATATAACAAATTTCATTGCCTTGCCTAAAACAATTCCATGTTATCAATGGAATGGTGGTATGATGTGTTGAAAATCACGCATGTTTTGCAACAAAGTTACCCAGCAACTAAACCTGGAGCCTCCAGTCTATTGGCTACTCTGCACAATACATCTACTAGGTACATAACAATACAATCAAGAAGCTTAATCTTTAAACTACAGGAATGGACTAAATTCTTCACAAGACACCTCCAATCCAATTTAGGCAACTGACACATCTTACATGTCTTAAAAAAATACACCTCCAAAGTAGAAATAAGTAATCTCACAATACAAATTTTAAATACTACATCAGACAAACTAGTCTTAGTCAATATTGACAATTAGAATAACATGCAAGTGTATTTAACGCTAAAATTAAAAAAAAATGCAGTTCATATACTGTACTATGATACCCACATTAAACAATGCCTAACAGTGGAATATATAAATGATGAATTCAGTGACTGCATTAGACAATTTAAATAATTCACAACTTGAAAATTTCAAGTTCGCACCCTCATTTGTAGAAAACTGTGGTTTAATTGAACTCCAGAATACACACAAATGGTACAAAGAGCCTAAAAATTACTTAATAAGGGTGCTTTTTTGCCTACCTTTCATCAAGGGCTTTTCTGACAATTTAAACTTACCTTATCTGTTCAGATGGTTCATTCATATTTTTAGATCCTGCATCCAGCATTTTGTTCTTCAGAGTTGCATCTCCTTCATTGGTATTTACAGATTTAAGAGTCTGGCTGCCAATTTTAGATTCAGATGTAACATTTGGTTCAGAGCCAGACATGGAAGTGATGGAGCTGGTCACAGGAAGAGGAGGCAAGGATGTGGGCAGGAAATTGGTAGATGAAGGCATAGCAACAGGAGGTGGCAGATATGTAGGGAGGCTGGGAGGAAGATGTATAGAATTTACACCTAAAGAACTGCCAGGCAGGCTTCCAGGAAGCATGGGAGGAATTGGAAGCAGTCCAGCTTTCTGCTGCATCTCAACATTAATGACAGGTGTTACGGTTGGCATCCCAGCAGGTAGAGGGAACCTACTCCGGGCAATAAACCTTGGGTCCAATGGAGATGGAACTGAACTAGGTAGGTGAATCAACCCAGGATTTTGTGGTAGGATGAAGCTACCTTTATTTAGAGATAAATTATCACTGCCATGGCTGGACATGGCTACTTGAAAAAATCTGAAAATGTTAGAAAATTAATTACTACCATAAAACCAATACATGGATGCATTTTTTATTTACCCATACTGAAATAGAAAATGGGTAAATTAGACCACATTTTTTGTTTATTTTTACTCTCAGGCAAGCAATAATTGCAGCTTTCTCAATAAAGAGCCACCGCCATCGGTTACGGTACATCAGAAAAAATTCTCACATTAGCAGAATGTTCTCAAGGGCAAATAAAACCTTAATGGAAGCCATCATTGTTGCATATCACACAAACAAGTCAACAATAAATTGAGCCTTTTCTGCATTCAGAAATATTTTCAAGTGAAGATATGCCAAAATACAGACCATAGATTAATTCCAACATCAAATGGGTAATTTAAGAAATTTTTGCAGGGCTCAAAGTGGTTGTAGATTTTTACTTTCAGTAAATCTTTTGATTTTAACAAACTGTTATAGGTATATGAAAATAATTTTCATGAAAAATAACTACACAATGTTTCAACATGTAATATCACATCCATGATATTTAATGTACCAATAAGAATAATAATATCACCACCATAAAATATATTCATTATATACAAATATAGAGTGTTAACTGTGATATTAAGCGTAATCACTTAGGGTTACCAGGAAAAGGCCCTTAGTTTCTGATAACCTCTGTAAAAAAAATAACCAATAACTTCACAGCCTTGTCTGTTGAGATACTCTTCAACTGAGATCTATTCTTGGTGTTGGATCAATAATATTTTGGCTATTTTTATCTATAATGAAAAGGTATAGCATTTAGCAAACTACATATAAACTTTTACTATTGAGTGAGCGGTCCTGCTTGTCGGCAACGAGTTATGCCCTAGTCAGACTTATGACATCAGAGTTCAGCAAGCAATGCAGGTAGGAGGTACTCAAGCTTCCGGCTGTGCTAATGTGTTTCATTTCATGCAGTTCTTGCAATGACAGACAACCAACTCACAGACAATGAGATCAAAAAACTACTGGAACAAAGAAACTAGAATAGAGATGCAGGTGCACCAGTGATGAAGCTGCACATGCACCAGCAATAAATATGCACATGTTCTCAGGCACAGGCACTCATGAATGGCTAACAGTCTCCTCCCCATGGGTAAAATTGACACAAGTTCAAGCAGTCAGAGTTTTTGTACATGGAAATGGCTCTGCTTGAGGCCACAAATGCGGTCCTTTCATTCTCAGAATTTATAAAAATTGATTTGAGTCCACACTTGTGTGTTAGAAGACTGCATTTAATAGGAAACAATCTATATTAATGGCTATATTAAATTAATTAATTTAAATAATCAAAGCATATGTAAAATATAAGAAACCTAAAATATACCTACTGAACAGAATTAAGGGCAGATAGCATTTGCAGCCAAGGTTGTAGCATGACGCAACAACACATGGCAATTAGGGTTAAAAGATGCCAGACAATTTTGCGGAAACATGGTTACCAGCCAGCATGCAATAGCAAAAAAATTGTTTTAAATAGACTACATCCTCCTGCAAATACACAGCTGAAATATACTGTCCAAGGATGGTTTAGCAAAACTATAGTTGGACATTCTTATTATTATTGTGGCATTAGTAGCTAAGGCCCTTAAGTATGCCAAAACTTGTAGAAGCAGTTACAGTTTGATAATCAATATGGGTGATGATACCAATGGGACGGAGCAACATACTGAAATTTAGTGTTGATCTAATAGTCCTTTATTACTTATTAGCCATAGGACTTTCAGTTAAACACGGATATCAATTTTAAGCCAAGAAGGCTAGGTGGAAAGCTTGAAAAATGCACCAATAAGTGAATACTAGACAGTCAGGAACAGCTGCAAGAGAAGGTGTGTATGTGTTATACTCTGTCTAGTTTCTTTTAGAACAGAGTAAACCATGAGACACATGCGGTACATAAGGATGTTCACGAAATCTTCATTTTTCTCCAGCGCCATGTGCGCCACCGGTGGTACAAGAGATTATGGTAAACCGGTGGCTTATATTGCGACAATAGAAACAGTACACATTGGATCATAATTGTTTGGTCACCGGTGGTTATAGTTTAGAGCTCTCAAAAAAGATTTTTTATATTGTAGTTAGTAGTTATGATTTTCATTTGTTAGTTTGTTATTTATAATGATACCAAGACTTATTACATACGTTTATTTCATTATTTCACTTCCTACTCATAATTGCTTTGCATTACGATAACCAATTTCATATCAAGAAACCCTTGTCGATGAAAGAATTCCAAGAATCTATTGCTCACTCACTCATAAGTCATAACAGGAAACTCGAACAAAACAAACGCAGGACGAGAACCAGCTGTTATAGGTGGGAAGAGAAACTCTCATTACCTTGTTGAGTTGGAGGGTCAATTTCGGAATGTAAGAAAAAGATGTAGAGGGTGTTACGAGGTGCTGTCGAAAAATGAAGGCTGCTCAGTTGCAGCTGCAAAAGCAAGAAGATTGAAAACAGTCTGCCTTCAATGCGAAAATGAGCCACATTTATGCCCTGGTTGTTTTGAAAGTACCCACTCTCATAAGTAATGTCTGACGTCTAATGCTATTATTGGTTCATGGATAATTTTCCAAAAGGTAATCTCACTAATTATGATCACCAATTTATGCGGATTATTTGTTTTATGAAGTTTTAGGTTTGAGGAAGAGTCTGATTTACGGAACAAAATTTTAGTTATATTTCGCTTGAAATTTGTATGAAACTATTTTTTTGAATAGTTATGCTAATAAATAAATAAATTACGACACTTGTTTTGATAATATATCCTTCTAGCCATTAAAAACGAGTGAAAAACAAATTTGAAATTAAATTTGTAAATGATCCACCGGTGGTACATATGGCGTTCATTGACAGCTTGTTTTGCGCCACCGGTGGTACATGTGGCGGTTAACGTGTTAAGTATACGGTACTTGAATTTGCTGATTTTAAGTGGTAAATAAATTAATAGATGATTTATTTAAGAGACGTTTTAGACACATAAAAACTAATTCCACACAGGGTGTCGGAATTACAACACACACTGTCACACAGGATGTCGTATTCCAAAACAGGGTGTCGGAATTAGGGTAAACACCATATTCTGACACCTTAAGGACGTAGCAAGAAATAAATTGCTATAAATAGATCACCTTATGCGCAACTCATGTTCTGATTGGTTTATGTCACTCTCAAAACACAACACAATGCGCCAGCAATAATAAAACATCACAAACTGTTGCCATATTTATTTAACTGCCTTTAGAATTCAAATCTACAAAAACGCTGAATTTGGACACTGAGTGTGACTAAATGCAGCATAATGTGAGACTAATTCCGACAGCGCTTTAAAATCGTAATTCCGACACCCTGTGTGAGCTGTGTCGGAATAAGACAGTAAATGACACCCTGTGTGTCGTAAATACAACACCCTGTGTTGGAATTAGTTTTTATGTGTCTAAAACAGTAAAACTGTCTCTTAAATCAATCATCCATTAATTTATTTACCACTTAAAATCAGCAAATACAAGTATATATACTTAAAGGATTCCTAATATATTCACAGACTAATTTAAAAGTCTCAAACCATAAGATTCTTTCTACACAAACAGTTTACCACTATTTAGTAAAGCAAGGTCAAATAACAACTTTCATACTTGTTTCGATTTTCTCACAAGTTGACTTGGACTTTCAATCTGAGGATCTCAACATTTTCCCGCTAGACCTAGTGTTTTACGGAAATCTGGCGCGCAATAGTATGACGTCACTACTCACTATTTCAACCATCTACGCATGCCTGGAACTAAGACCAAGCTTAATATAAAGGAAAAAGTTGAGGGGTGTCAGAATTACCCAGAGTGTCAGAATATGGTGCGTTTACCCTATGACACATGGTGTCGCAATTAGGGTAAACGCGATATATCCCGACACATTAAGGACATAGCAAAAAATGAATGGCCATAAAAAAATCATCGTATGCGCAACTTGAGTTCTGTTTGCTTTACGTCACTCTCAAAACACCGCACTATGCGCCACCAACAATGAAACGTCACAAACTGTTGCCATATTTATTTAAAAGCCTTTAGAATGCAAACCTACCAAATCCATATATTCCAACGCTGTGTGTGACTAAATTTGGCATTTTGTGAGACTAATTCCGGCCACGCCTCAAACTCAACTAATTCGTAATTCCAACCCTCTTGTGTTCGAATTCTGATCGCTGTGTGAGCTGTATTGGAATACAACACAGCCTGGAATTAGAACACTACTTAATTAGGCTTTTAATTAAGAGCTATTAAGCTTTTAATTAAGAAAATTTTACTTTTTGCACACAGCTCGGTGTGTGTCTAATTTCAAGCTGTGTCAGAATTAGTTTTTATGTGTCTAAAACTGTCTCTCAACTTAATCATCTATTAATTTATTTACCACTTGAAATCAGCAAATACAAGTATACTTAAAGGATTTCTAATATATTCACAGACTTACTTAAAAGTCTCAAACCATCATATTCTTTCTACAACAGTTTATCACTAGTATTTGGTAAATTGGTAGACTAGAGGCCGTACAGCCGTAGAGCAAGGTCTAGTGGTCTACCATAGTGGCAAACTGGCAAACCAGAAATTTTTTAGAATCATTTCATTTTCAATTTCCTCAAGAATTAAACCAGTTTCTTTACTTTCTTATGTATGCTAATGCTGGTATGTGGTATCCATGATACTTTGCTGGTCTAATTGACTCAAAAATGAACTTGAGGGAGAATCTAAAAAAAAACTCTCTGCTTTACCACTATGAGGTCTACTATCAATTTTGACACGTTTTTTGACGTTTTCACTGGGTGACGTGCACTGTCTCTCTTTGGATCTTAACATTTTCCTGCCAGACGGCCCTGACCTAGTGTTTTGGCAATAGTATGGCGCGCAATAGTATGATGACGTCATTATTTCAACCATCAACAAATGCGTGGAACCTAGACAAAACTTAATATAAAGGAAAAGGTTGAGAAGTGTTGGAATTACCCTCAATCTCGGAATATACCGCGTTTACCCTACAAATTACAATTTTGAATTGCTGTCGGAATTAGTATCACAATATGCCGCATTTAGTCACACACAGTGTCGGAATTCAGCGATTTTGAAGATTTGAATTCTAAAGGCTTTTGAATAAAAATGGCAACTAATGAGACGTTTCATCATTGCTGGTGGCCTGGCGCATAGGCTAGCCTACTAAGCCTAGTGTGGACTGTTTGGTGTTTTGAGTTGAGAAATTGAGAGTGACATAAAACAATCAGAACTCAAGTTGCAGTTGCGCATATGGCAATCTATTTAGGGCCATTTATTTCTTGCTACGTCCTTAAGGTGTCGGAATATGGTGTGTTTACCCTAACAGTAAAAAAATCATAAAATGTAGAGCTCACAAATAGATGATAGATCATCAAAGTTCAAACTTCAAACTACACACTACAGAATTATCTGACATAAAATAGAACTTACAAATTCTGAAAGTGTAAACTTGTGAAATCTCAAAGGTGTCATTTCTGTCCTAGGTACAAGATCAAGATGAATTGGGCTGTCTTTTTCTCAAATAAACTGCAAGTCTGCATCATGCTGCATGAAACTGAAGTCTGAAAGCATGAATGCATGATCAGGTGCAAAGTTAAAAATTTAGGATTAAAATTAGTCTGTTTACCTGGAGGCTGGAGCCAATAATGATAGTTTCAATAATAAGTATGCCTACCTTGGAAACTTCTACTCCTAAATCCTAATTCCTTATTTAGTTATTGATCAGAATTTAGAAATAGGTAAAACCTAGGTAGGCAGCATTTACCTAGGTACCTAGGCTAGCTACATATTTTACAAATGGGCTCAGTTAAAAATTTGACTAGGCCTATTTGAAATAAAAAAATAGTGCATTAAATAACAGAAAACCTACCTAGCTATGTAACTATGAATTGAATTCTATAGTTTTACGGAATATATTAATTTTATATTCTAACGAGTAACGACGATTACGGTATAGGACTATAGCATAGGCTATCAGCCGCTATCTTCTTAAAAAGAATTTTAGTCCTGTACAAAAAATGCACCTATCATTCATAGATTATAGATACTTACAGAGCAAACTTGGCTGAACATACTACTTAACATGCAAAAAATTATTAAATTGAAATAAAGGATTCGCATAAGCCTGTTAAACACGCTCGCGTATCGCATCCCAAAAAAAACACAGCAGACGCAGTCGCACAGTATTAATACTTGGGGAAGCAGTGCAAGCCTGGCAGTGAAGGGCGAAGGCACACATTTTTACGGTAATTTCCAATCCGCGGCTGTGAGCGTAATTTTTAATATACAAAAGTAATTCAGTTAGTATTCAAACTAATATATATATTTTACTGAAAATTTATTTAGGCAATCAAATTTTGTACACAATTTGTAATCAAAACTCTTCATTCTAAATATTATAGTAACACAACATGACGAAAACGTATATTGGGGACGCAGCCCTCTATGTCCTAAACTTTAAAATTTGCACTGGACCTAATGTCCAGCTTAAGCATGCGATAATTATACTCCAATTCTGTGATAAAAGCCGAAGACGACACTGGAACGCCGAACAATCAGACCAGATGGACATAGCGCCATAGGTCCCACTGTCACCGCATTCACTCACTCGCACTTAAGTCTAAATCAGTCAGAAACTCATCAAGCCAGACCCTCACGTTACGAGACTCTCCAGGTTCTTGGACCCAATAACAAGTTCTACCACCACACTAGTTCGCCTGCTCAGTTTCCCTCTGGCTCACAGCCAATAAAGTCATGTCTGGTTTGTTTTAGGTCTAGATTCAATGTAAAAAGAGTAGGTTAGACCAGATGGACCACTGACATTAGGTTCGTAAATATAAACCTCATTAGGATATAGACACCTTATTTGATTGTCCATTACGACCCGTAGTAGCTGGCTTTCGGAAAGAAGTACGAAGTTGAGTGTGAAGTTGGGCAAAACTAGGCTTATACATTTGGTTTAAACATCTTTTTAAGGTATAATTTGCTTTTTTCTCAGGAATTTTATGCGACGCAGCTTTAGATTTACTGAATTAAAAATTTAAAGTCATAAAAACTGCAATATTTAAAGTGCAGTAGTTTCAAACAGGTTCATAGCGGATGAAACCCATACGACGGTTAACGGGTTTGAAAAGCTTGATAAACTCTAGATAGAAATTTTAGGCGTTTTCCATCCTAAAAACATTTACGATAACCATACTAAGCATTAATATGGATTGTTTTAGATAGTCATTTAGACTAGCTTTTTGGCTAAGGTGGTTCCTTATGGGTTCACTTTCAAACTAGCCTTGGCGCAAACGCCCAGCCTTGACATTTAATAGCTGGACTCAGATTCGGAGGTACAGAGCCTCAGACCGAACAATTTCAGATTAATCAAAGAATGATCCCGAATGAACATCGGAGGAAGGATAAATCCGGGGGAAAACGCCTTATTTGACAGTTATTATACTCTCAGATACCGCACACCAAAAGCAACGTTCGCAATTACTCTGCATCATCAGGCCAAAGCAGCGCTCATCGTCACCAAGGGTACCTATATTTAATTAAGAGTACATAAATTACGCAATCGGGAACAACTTGAAACGTCGAAATAAAAGAAAGACAACAAAAACGTGTGTATAAATTGTTTAAATCACAAGTTTTACATATACATTTTATCAAACATTACATAGGCATCATTATACCGGTTAATTCATCGATGATTACGATATTTGTGGTTAGATGACCTGAAGAGGTCAAGCGTCGTCTTATCGTAAAACGACCATCTGTCAGGCGACATGTTATCGTATACTTGGCTTACTAGATTCACACAAGCAAGTGCACATGCACATGCTTACACATGTGCTTTCACGCCAACATGCCCTACATACACAGAGAATTATTAATGATACGGTGATTAGGGACGGAAAGGATCAGGTTTAGATTCGCATGGAAATAGGTGAGATTGTAGCAAGAGAGGAGACTATTTCTGTTGCAAAGTCAAGTCATGAAATCGGAAGACATATCATAGGCCAGTTGCTACATTTTCCTACTGCATTAAAAGATTTAGCAAGGTTTAGCTAGCTTTAGCTAGATTTAGCATGATTTAGCTTAATAGTCATAGCACTTAGAGGTTCCTACTTATGAAAGAAGAAAATTTACTTCAGACGCTTTGAGAAACCTTCGATTACTAGAAATTAAAGCAAATTGAATTTCACGCGAATAGAATTACAATTAACGTCATATAATAAACCCCAAGAGCATGACATAAATAACAACACTTCAAGCAACGACAGATTGAGCAACTTTCCTTAGGTAAAGTTATCGTCCTTTGCGACCTGTTCAAGTTTTGTGGGTGCCATGCGCACCTAATGCATGTTGTGACACTATAATGCATGTGACGCAATGCTATACTGTATGTGACAACCGCGAAACCGAACACAACTAAATCTGAAACATTAATACATTAAATATACTTCTGTAATATATGGAGTGCATTTTTCTGTGAAATTTTGTTCTACAACATTCCTGCACAGACACTACTTTCCGGTTTTGTTATGTTTTTTAGTACCGTAACGTCAGCTGGGATAAGATTGGCCCACAAGTGTAACAGAGAATCAAAGTTAGAAAAAGTTTTGTCGTGCTGAGTACAAAACTTTTTCTAACTTTGGGCCAACGTTACGCCTAAGTGTGCCATTCATTTTTATCATTCGCACGTATCTTCCATCCCAACAGCAGTTAAATCCTTATTCCAAATATTTATTTTAATTTCAAATGAAATTCCAGGAAAAGAGTTTTCAATTGGTACTAAAATCTTTAAAATTGGTTTGTGAACAACGAAGTAAAGAGAGTTTTCTCATAAAAGATTGGTCCATTTTTTGGTCATAATAGAACAACTAAAATAAATTTGAAGTTACCTGAGTTCCTGTTGCACTCTGCGTTTACATAGTATTTTTTAGATTTTTCTCTTTTAAATGAATAGTTTTCATTATAAATATATAAAAAATATTTTCTTGCACATACTTAACTTAACCCTCTACTGCCTGACATGAGTAACCGAAACAATAATTATAGTGTCAAAATCTAAAAAGACACGTTCTAGTGAGCGCAAAATGACTTGCACTGATGGTTGCCGCCACGTACGACAACTACGACAAATGTACGAAAAATGTTCTTTTGCGTTTAAACGTTTTCAGGTTGCTACAATAAATAGTTTATGTATAATTTAAGTTGAAAGTTATGTTCCCGGAGAGTGACATACGGCGGTAGAGTGTTAAAAGCAATCATATTCGAGCAGACAGTAGCTTAATAATATATGATAATAATTATTATCATAAAACGATTACTCAGATATATCAACAATTACTCATCAAAAGTTAACGCTTCAATGTATTTTTTTGTCACTTCCAGTCCTAATCTTCGTTGTGACGCGTTGCATCGTTATATATTGGACAGCAGAGCACTTCTACACTCAGCATCTGAACTAGTTGCTAGTTTCTGTAACTCATTCATAAGCATCTCATGAAAAAAAATTAGCAAGCCAATACAAAATGTTAAGGCTACAAGTTCCTGCATCACTTGTTCCTACCATCATCTACTTGACGTCTTCATGGTGGAATCAATAAAGACCTCGGCAATGGCTCTGTCTAATCCAGTATATGTTCTGTCGATTTGATCATCGGTTAACTCGACGTTTTTCTTGCGTTTGTGGTCGCGCTCATCGTCCGCTGACACGTCGCGTCTGCCGCGGCGCTTACTGCGGGCGGCGCTGGCGTCGGGACCTGCCGTGTGGCGTCGACGAAGGCGGTCTTTTCTGCATAGCTTGCGTTCGCTTCTCTGAACAAAAATGAAAATGATAGTAAATTAGGATGTGAAAATAATTTTTTTTACCGTTTAGAACCGAATATAGGTTGAAAAACTGAGAAACTTTTATAGATCAAACATTTTTGTTTGGCAAGTTTTTTCAACTAGTATGCAAAATATCAACCTATTTAACACAAAAAAAAAAAACCATAAAGGCTCCAGATAACATAAAATTTGGTATATTTAATTTGTTTACGTAAACTTGTTAACATTGACATTTAGGGTATTTCTTTTTGACAATAAAAGGTTTCAAAGAAGCAAATAATTTTTAACTGTGAATGTGAAGGTCACACAAAGCTGGCGTTACAAGAACTGGTATGTTCTTGAAAAAAGTTTCAACACATCCCCGATATCCATGACCTGACTAACACCCGATAAATATCATATTTAAAATATCAAGCACACTGTATTTTTGAGTTTTTAAACAAATTGCAGGAACTTATAATTTTCTTTACTTGTTTAGGACATCCATGCGCCTGCGAGCACCGAGGCGGCGTTTGAGAAGCACAGCCGTACGTGGAGTTCGCTGCTGCTGCTGTCACGTACGGCCAGCTGAGCGTAGAAGGGCTGGCGTAGATAAAGGCTGAACGGTTAGCGTGCCTAAACGTAGAATTGTTCCCATAGCTGATGGTAGAGGGGTTAACGTAGCTGAATGTTGTCGCGTAGCCGTACCCGGATTTTTGCGCCAAAGAAATCTGGCCGTTTTGTGTGGCATGGAAGTCCCGAGAAATGAGATGTACGGGGCGACGTCCGTAATATCCTTCACTGGCTGAATAGTATCGGGGTGCCGTGTGCTCTTTGTAATAATAAGGCAATGAGTACTGGGATCGTGGATCTGAGTAATATGAGTGAAGCGAAGGTGCTGCAGATAAAACACTCTTGGGTTTAGCGAAACCAGGAATAGAGGTCGCGTGAGGAATGTACCATAAATTCTTACGTGAAATTCGCACTGGAGGAGCCGATCGTGGAAATCTGGGAAAAGGTAAACTTCTAGGCGTCGCCAAGCACGATTGACTGTGGCTGAGAGCATTTAAGTTATTACTACGAGCTGTGGATTGAGTGTCCCGACATGACACAAGATGGTGAGACTTGATCGCGTGAGTCGGGACTTTCTTGAGCTGCGGGCTGTCCCAGTATTGGTGTGCATCTCTTTCATGTAGCTTCCGTTTCTTCGCGTGGAAATTACCCAAGTTTGCAAACTTAGAAAAGGTGTTATGATGAGAAGGTTTCAGTGCGTTGTTACTTGGGTGAACGTCATCCACACAACCATGCCGTGTGACAGCACTAGAGGGGTCATTGAGTTTCAATGGGCGGGCCAACATAAATGGATCTTGATCCGCAGGTTGGCTGGGGGCAACGGCAGGATGCATGAAATACGCAGCGGTGTTGACGTTCTTTGGACTGGATAGTGAAGGTGATGGTGAGGATTCCGTTAACGGAACGAAATGACTCACGGACGGAATGCTAGCTCCCGACCGGAGAGCTCCGCTTGTAGTTGTGCCCTGTAACAGGTTGGGAAATTAGTTTGGTCGAGCTTCTGATACAAACAAAATCCTTATTAGTCTGTACAAAATTGCATATTTATCAAGTTGGATCCATCAAGCCACATTTCCTTCATACTTCAAATTCGGAAACAAAATTGTCGTTCTTGTGTGCAGGCTATAAAAGAATAATAGTTTGTAAGCTAAATAGAAGAAAACTTTCTTCATAGTTTCAAAAAAATACAAGTAGTGATAGTTTAGCCCTTACACGTAGATGATTATTTTCGCAGGTCCCAATATCTTCAAAAATCATTCTGGTTTGAGCCAATTTAGCGATATTACTCTGTTGCTCAATCATGTTTACGTTAAGACTTTCTATGAATTATGATAACCAGCCTTTCTCTTATAGTAAATCATGATCCGTATGCACCTGCCACCATCTTAATTAAAAAAAAACAATAAAAGGGAATACAGTAATTACGGAAAGAGAAATAACATTTTCATTTAAAACAACTTAATTTTCGTTACCTAAATAGCCCAAGAGTAGAGAGTACCTACTTGAGAAAACTTCAAGATATTCGAAGTTTAGCTTGCATTATTGAAGGAAAGAAGCACGGAGCTTCTCTATTACACAGACAAAGTCATTTGTTTCATTTTATTCGCTTTGAATTGAAAATATTTGGCAAGCTACTCAGTATCTTTGATGATAGTACACTCCAATGCATACATACAGCCACACTAATACTGCCCCTTCAATTTATGAATATACCTTTAAGGATACGGAGATATGAACAAGTACAAAATATATTGTTTGTGAAATTTTAAAACTGACTAATTCAAAGCAATGCACTATCAAAATTTACGATGAAAACTTTTGTAAAAAAGCGTTTAACGCAATGATATTTGAAATTTGTCCGTAGACAAATTTGGGTTGAACAAATTTAACATCGGAATAATTTTTGATTGCAAGTTTTGCGTCTTAAAAATTATCGTCGTGTGCTTCTGAATTCGCACACCACTATTTACTCAACATTAGTATGGCTCCTGCAGTGTTACTAAAAACATGAGCGAAATATCCGACTATGGCCTCTCTAATTACCAGGCATTCATTTACGAATACCATTGAAGACGGTTAACATATCAATGGACAAAGGTTTAACAGGGTTAACCGTTGGTCTAGTGACTGCATGGTAGAACTAGTATAACTAGTGTATAAGGTTGACCCATGAGAAGCTCATTTTTGCGGGTGTATTTTGTTGCTCACCTGTGACGTCACTGATCTCAGTGATGTCACGGGCATTAACCAATCACCGAAATGCAATCAAACCAGTCAACCAATCTGTTATAGGAATGACGGGATTGTTTACGTTTCTCGATCTCAGTAACGTAACAAGAAAGCTGAACTGAAAGACGGAAATCCTCGTTGGTCAACCTTATACAGTTCAACCATGTAGTGACGGAAACTCTCTTTACCAAACCAGTAGATCCGAATATCATTTTCGACTAGTGATGTATACAAGGCTCAAAGGTTAGGTATGACAGCAAAGTCTGTTACTAAAGGAAGAATCTCACTATGGGGAAGATGGTCTTCTGTTGCCCCAACCAGCGGTACAGGCGCTCCTTGCGGCTGTGGCCCTCAGCAAGTCTCCAGCGTCCGCCTGGTCCCGCCCGCACAATGCAGATCCTGCACGGAAGTGTCAGCTTTAGTTGAATATTTGGTTCAGCGCTACAATGATAGTGGTTTCAGCGATAAAGTATCGTATATAGTACAGTGTTTTCAGTGACTTAGTAAACCGTATAGTATAGTGGCTCCAGCGATATACCTAGTATAGCGTATAGTATAGTGGTTTCAGCGTTGGATAGACCACATGTGTCATATTGCCGATTCTTGACATCGAACAATTCGTTACAGCATGCAGAGGTTTCGAACCCGCAACTTAATATTCCAATCTTGTTACTCTGAATTGTGATGGGCCACCCTGCCCCATGGTTACAAAGGTACAAGCTTCGCTGTACAATCATAGTTTAGTTGTGGAATTAGTAGATGCCTAGATTGTGTACACCATGCGCATGTCAATTTGGAGAGTATCTGAGTATCTAGTGCGAACATCATACATATTATCCTTAGATTTTAGAGAGCATCTAGTGCGAACATGATGGATCTTATCCCCAGAATTTGGAAAGTGTCTAAAGCGAACATCATGCTTATATCCCTAGAATTTGGAGAGAATCTAGTGCGAACATCATGCTCATATCCCTAGAATTTGGAGAGAATCTAGTGCGAACATCATGCTCATATCCCTAGAATTTGGAGAGTATCTAGTGCGAACATCATGCTCATATCCCTAGAATTTAGAGAGTATCTAGTGTGAACATCATGCTCATATCCCTAGAATTTGGAGAGTATCTAGTGCGAAAATCATGCTCATATCCCTAGAATTTGGAGAGTATATATCTAGTACGGACATCATGCTCATATCCCTAGAATTTGGAGAGTATCTAGTGCGAACATCAGGCTCATAACCCTAGAATCTCAAATGGACAACTCCAGTATCCCAATTCTCGGTCAGTGTTTCGGATGTAGCAGTCAAAGGCCAAAGTAGAGCGCTCCAATGTAGTACTTGAGCTTGTACTCCAACTTTACGTCCTGTGTGGTATGTAGATATCCTACTTCATAAGGATACCACAGCAAATCTATAAGTAAATCATGCTATCATGTGTTTAGAATAATCAAAATGGATAATTGAATGTGTTGTACATTTTTTGCGAATCTCAAAATGCACCACTTGCCTTGGAATACAAAATATTCTATTAGAATAGCACGCTTACAGCAGATGAAGCAGTCACGTACACGTGCTATGCATATCCTGTGAAATTCAATATATTTCACGTGAAATATACGAATAGAATAACACGCTAAGAACAGATGAAATAGTAACGGAAATAAGCTGTACATATCCTGTGAAATTGAAAATGTACAAAGTGCATTCTAATAAAAATATAACTCAGTACTCACTGCAGTGAGTGACAGAGAGCGCATTTTCTCGTCGACGAAAACTTGAGGTCACGGACGGACAGACAGACAGACAGACAGACGGACGGACGGACATGGCGAGCACAATAGGGCATTTTTACTATAAATGAGAAAATGCGCTAAAAAATACTCTTATAGAAAAGCATGCATAAAAAACATGCATTCGTAACACAACGCAGATCAGAGACAACCTAGCGCTGAAGGCGGCCGTGGTCCGTGTTCCCCGGAATACGGAGCGGTCAACGGAAAAGTGGAGTGCGACGCTGTGACCGCTACGAGCATCGTATCCCTGCCACGCTCTACTAACCGAGACACGTTAAACCATAACGTGCAGCACGTCCAGCTAGACCACGACACGACTCCGTCAAGACCACTGGCGGGCCATAAGACCATGCAGGACCCACATGGATTTAGGCCTCTAGTGCATGTGCGTGTCTGTGTATGTATCTAGGCCGCCGCGTGACACATACAAGAAGACACATCCCAGGTAAGTATAACCATGCAGGAGTGGGACTACTACCTAATACACGCTGGTAGGTCACTGGCTTTCACTGCTGGACAATAAAATCATACAGCAATTGCAGGTAAGCTACCAATGCTATAGACAACAGTTTGCTCGAGCAGTTGTTATTGTAACTTTATCCCATTTCTATTCTCAACACTGAAAGCACTAGCAATTCACGAATTCAAATTCAACTTCTCATGTGCTAGTTAACTCAAAGACCTTATCGCTTTTCTAAGTAAGTAATTTGTCTGTTTGTAAATATTGTTGTACTGTTGTTGGAAAAATGTCATCCACTGTACGACTGTCCACTAGTTTACCATGCAGTATATGTTAACAGGTACATTTGAAAACTCTATATGAATGTAGCACCTGCAGAGTTGTCTGGCTGCTATGGTGATGCAGAGAGCAGACACGACGCAGTCTGCCACGGCGAGCAGACACAGCGTGGCAGACGCCGCGACACTCCCGGTCTCCGCAGGTCCGGACGAGCTCGATCCGGACGGCTGCCTCCACTCCAGCTGTTAGAAACGCTGAGTTGTTAGGCGAACATGGGGGGTATACGCGATCACAATATGGACATGAGAATACATGATGAATAAAAGTAATTAGGATGGATACGCAAACACGGGAATATGGGACGAAAATGAAAATACCCGGGCTTTTGCCACCACCAGTTTTAGACAGATCGAGTCGCCAGGCCCTTGGCAACTTTAAATAAAGCCGCTACTCGGTCAGCTCGACTTTGCGCGGCCACAGCCGCGCTTTTTCACCCTCACGAATCACAGCCAATAAGTCCATACCCACTCAGTACGGATATGGAAATACTGGATGGATATGGAAATTCGGGATGGATGGGTAACTAAAAAATTGATCCGTGAATATTGGATGGATCATAAACATAGGAGTAATCCGGGAACGATGAATGTATACTTGGACACAAGACGAGTACATGAATATGGGATAAACACAAAACACAGGAACGGCGGATGGATGCATGAACACAAGGCGAACAGGATCCAACATACAAATGGAATTGAGATAAAAAAAACACAATTGAAATATCGAAAACATAAACCTATTATGCAACCAATTAAGACATGGCTCTATTTTTCTCGGTAAACGATAAGTTAATTTCGATAATTTTGAGAATTACACAATTGTAAATTGGCTTTAACTTCAAATAATACAGTGAAATGATGGATGAAAAGGTAACTCGACGCTGCTCAAGTTAAGCAAAACTTTCGTCCTATTCAGAATCATTCTTTTCAATCTATTATAATCTAACAAATAGTTTTTTATCAAAAAATCAAGAGAACAGAAATCGTTTCCACAATAGCAATTAAGATCATTTTCTCTGAATTATTAAAATCATTCTGATAGAAAGAAGTCACTATCATTCAAAAGTCATTTAATGGGCAATGTTGTATATGAGCAAATTTTACAATAATTTGTTGTACTGATCGTTCAACTGATAAATCAAGGATATATTCGTTCAAAATCACGCGTTCAAAAATTGACACTCGTTCCGCATGTAGAACCGTATAGCAATTCTTTTCTTGTATTGCCGTACGTGTCCAGAAAAGTAGCGCCTATTATGCAAATAGAGCAAACTTGCACCAAATAATAGAAAAATTATTCAGTGACTTCAGCAATAACAGCTACAATATCAGTTATTATTGTAGCAGTTATGGCAGCTATTTCCTTCCCGTTACCGGCAATCATGTTAAGAAAAAGTTCGGTGTTGGGGCCGTCCCCTAAATTGGCTTGCCCCGAGCTCCCTTGCATCCATGCATTTACTTGAACCGCACAACTCTTCCGGTCCTGTTATTCCTACAAATTATCGACTCCTTGAACGAAACGGGTAATAAAATCTATTAAAAAGGTACGCTATGGCGACATGTAAGTTGTAAAATATCGCCAAACGAAGGAAAACATGAGAAGTAAGCGTGAATTCCATGGAAAATTTGAAAGTTCTCGAAGTTAGTGATTGAGTATCTACGCTTATAGGGAAGCAGTGAGCAGATTTTCTTCTATTAATAAATTTCAGTTTGTGCACTTGCACAATTTGGATTACCGTCGTAAACTGCAAAAGGATAATATTCAACATACTCAAAGTCTATGACCTGTCGATAACGCCAAGGCGTAACCACTTCAGTAACTCAAAGTAATCCAAGTCAAGAAACTCCATGCAAGTGATCACTTCGAAGTGTCTACATACGTCATGATTAGTCGTAAAAGGCAAACATTTCCTAATAAATCACAATGACACTACGTCATCCGAAATAATATAACAAAATTACAATTAAGTGCATTTCTTAATGTGTGATAAATACAGTAAGTACTATTGTGCCTTTGTAACATTCCTACTCTAATTCAAACAAACTGTTTCGGGAAACAACAGTAAAAACGCATGAATTTTTCATCTAACCGAACGAAAAAGTTGAATTCCATGGAGACTATAGGACATATCGATATTATTTATGCACCAACTGTTGAACAGTTGAGCAGTCAAGGCAAACAAAAGACAACGGCCACAAAGTAATAACCATGGACTCCGGAGTCACAGCTGGAGCCTCATATAACGGCAGGCGGCCACGCAAGTTGTCGTACGGAATTCAGACTGAAACTGTGCTCAGAAATGACGAGAAAATTACTCCAGAGCTCCGACTCTTAGACATAATAAGCGCGTCCGCAGGCACTTTGCCCCTAAGTAGGCAGTTCAGGACTTCGACTTGAAGAGTAAGCAATGACGATTGACGGTTGCCGGCTGGTTGCGCTTACGGGATTGAAATAATAAGTGAATTGCTCTATAAATCTTGATCGAGACTTTGAAATTCGAGTGAGAAGAAAGTAAGAAATAGTTTTCAACCTAAATAATCATCATAACTAGGATTTTAGTAACAGCATCGATTTTAGTACCATGATCGAGCAGTTGTTCATGTACCAGGTGCATTAAAAATGTACCAGTAATATTACGTCTCTAACATTATCGAAACTCTACAGACCATCTTCAGTTCCAATGCAATGTAATTTCGTTATCATAAAAAAGCTCCATCAAATTTTTGGCTGAACAAGAGCGCAAAATACTCATTTAGCATATAACAGATTGCGTAAAATCTCCCAAGCGTCAACAAATACAGACGGCCAAGATGACAAGAAAAAATTTCCAGTTATTGCTAAACCTTCACAATTATTTCTGATCATGACTTAAGCGCAGGTATAACAATGGAGATGGCATTATGTCTATGCTTCTGGTGTCGACTTTAATCTCTGACGGAACTTTTGTTCTACCACACAACATATATTGCGGAACATAATTACGTTCTGCAATACATGTTGAAAACGCAATAATCAGAGGCTCGTTTGAGTGTCAGGCACACTGAAGTGTTCAGCAGCTGCAGCTCTAATAGCCCTTCCTGCGAGCGTCTACAGCTGGGAGGTAACCAACCGCAAGTCATCCGAGCACCGTGAGTCCAAAGCCCTCGTAAACGACTATCTTCTGGCGACTGTCGAGTCCAAAGCCCTCGTAAACGACTATCTTCTGGCGACTGTAGAGTCCAAAGCACTCATAAACGACTATCTTCTGGCGACTGTAGAGTCTAAAGGCTTCGTAAACGACTATCTTCTGGCGACTGTCGAGTCTAAAGGCTTCGTAAACGACTATCTTCTGGCGACTGTAGAGTCCAAAGCCCTCATAAACGACTATCTTCTGGCGACTGTAGAGTCTAAAGGCTTCGTAAACGACTATCTTCTGACGACTGTCGAGTCCAAAGCCCTCGTAAACGACTATCTTCTGACGACTGTCGAGTCCAAAGCCCTAGTAAACGACTATCTTCTGAGGACTGTCGAGTCCAAAGCCCTAGTAAACGACTATCTTCTGACGACTGTCGAGTCCAAAGCCCTCGTAAACGACTATCTTCTGACAGCTGTAGAGTCCAAAGCCCTCATAAACGACTATCTTCTGACGACTGTCGAGTCCAAAGCCCTCGTAAACGACTATCTTCTGACGACTATATAGAATCAAAAGCCCTAACATACGACTATCTTCTGACTAAATTAGAACGAGATTTAAAAAAAAGGTAAAATACTAATTTTACAAACATACACGTCTTTGAGTTGACGAACACCTGAAGGTTTTTGTTGAATTCCGTTTACTAAATTATTTATTATCAACGCTGCATTATGTATCATATGTTCTAATGTTCAAAAATGTTCTAATCCAACAATTTGAAGGAGTGGCAAATAGGCCACACTAAATCTTGAAACGAAATCCAGAAAGCCTCAGATAACATCGTGAACAATTCAATAACATATATAGCTTTATGCGCTTGACAAACTGGGATAGCTTATGAGGTTTAACTGAGAACAAAACTCACTAGCACCAAACTGGACAGGATCTCCTAGCAAACACAAGAAATAAACGACTAATTTTATAACCAGTTAGCAAGGAAATTGCACCTCGATCAGTGGCCATATTAGGAGCAGTGTCCTAGCTTTTATTCGGCAACCCAAACGCTAAAAAAAATCATCTATCTTTCTGGTAACTAATTCCTTAGTTATTGCTGTCAGAAAATTTAGCCTTTTATATTATAATGTATATTTACTTCTTCTTAACCTGTAATATCTTACATGATATAAATTTCACAGGTTTTAACCAATTACGCTATGGTCGATGAGCACGAAGCTAATTAAAGAAACGTGAACCAAGCTACTGTTCTAACAACACAGAATTGGTCTTAATTGATAAGCAAAGATAGAAGGTTCAATGAATCCTTAATACGGGCGAGGATGACTCGGTAAATCCTAAGGGCGGTAAACCGTGCAAGAAAAGACAGCCATTGGCCAATGAGTGCGTCCAGCGTGACATCGAAACAAACGGCGTGACAGACGCTGGTCAGGAACAGCGTGACCAGCGGCGCTCAGGAGCTGCGTGACCAGCGGCGCTCAGGAGCTGCGTGACCAGCGGCGCTCAGGAACTGCGTGACCAGCGGCGCTCAGGAACTGCGTGACCAGCGGCGCTCAGGAGCTGCGTGACCAGCGGCGCTCAGGAACTGCGTGACCAGCGGCGCTCAGGACCTGCGTGACCAGCGGCGCTCAGGAACTGCGTGACCAGCGGCGCTCAGAGACTGCGTGACCAGCGGCGCTCAGGAACTGCGTGACCAGCGGCGCTCAGGAACAAACGCGTCTATACTCCAGCACTCACTTATCCATCATTTAGCGCTTGCGTATCCATCATATTTTATCCCTGAGGACGGTGCAACGTGAGTAAAAACACACAGTAACAATTTTGGAGCAATGGACGATTTTGAATTCGTTATTATTTTTTTTCGCAGAAATGATGACTCCATAACACAAGATAATCTGGCAACGATAAGCTAACCGTTATCAAACGCAAATCGCTTGGCACGAAGTAAAAACAATGGAAATCGTACATTAAACTTAATTAATAACCTAAATATTTGCTCATAAATTAAGAGAAAATGTCACCAGTAAGAACTGCTATTTGGTAGCTGGCGGA